TCATTGTTTTCAAATCAAACGTGCTGGAGTAGAGCCAAAACAAGAAAGAATTGTGTCATTGTCCAAATACTTATGGATGGCATTGTACATCCCCCATTTATTGCAAATGGTGTCTAAGCTTGACGTGTCTAGAGGAGCTGCCAACTTGCAATAAATATACTGAAATAATCACAAATGCAATATATATATAAGCTACATGTTAGAAATCTGAACAGAAAACTAAATTACCTAAGAAAGGAAAGCATAATTTTAAATAAAAGAAAACCCTTCATCCAGCCAATTTTGGGCCACATGACATAAATTTCCCAAATATGTGCCCTTAATTTACATTTAAGCATCGATAGATTGCCTCGTTCTGTTTTAGGGATACTATTTCCTTCATTAAATCAACTGATTAAAAATGTTCCGCCCTTCTAATGTATGGTGATGATGAAATTCTGAAGTTTACCTTAAATTAAAACAGGAAAAAGAAGCATTAGATTCTGCCTAAATATTTAACACAAGGCACTATTGACTCTGTCTTTCTTAAATGGCCCTGTTAAATCAGATCTATTTTTAATTAAGGCAGCTTGGATGATACTACTTTCAAGCTTTTTTGTCCTATACACTGGAAGCATTTCTGATAAATGGGAAAAGAATAGATGACCTGGCAGAAGGCTCAGACAATAACATGTGATTTACAGGACACAAATGCAGCTACTATAAGATTTATCTGACAGCACTTTCAGATAGTGGACTGGTGAGTATCCGATGAAATGATTTCTAGTCTGGAAATTCTACTACTGAGTAGCCACACACATTATTTATTTATTAGATGTTTTGGGTTGAAACCTTTTTTTTTAAATGATGTACTTCAGAATGCAAGGCTATAAATTTAGCTTTAAACCCAGACTTGAGGTGGTGTTATTGGAAAAAATGTCAGACTGAATTAAGGCAAGCCAAAAAAGCAGCTTTTATAAAGTGGCCTTGGTAAGTAGCCAATGCTAAGTTGATGTCTTTCAAAAATGATATTCATGTCTAATAGACAAGTGCACTTTTAAGGCAGCGTCATTTAGATCTACCTGCAAAAGATGCCTGTCTAAACATTTAGCTTTGTGACAGAGATAAGCTTCAGCTTTATTTCTTCAAATATTACAGTAAAATTAATGCTTGTTGATTTTTTAACACTATCTCAAAAATACTAATACAAAAAGTTAAATATTTTAAGGGTACTGATAAGTGAAAAAATATCATTATTATTACAAGGCAGTAATAGTTCAAACTTAAAATCAGGATATCATACATTTTGTATATTGGAAGAGACTGTTGCTAGAAAGCAGAGAAGGTCTTCTCCTGATCACCAAACTAATAAAAACAATCAATGACTGGCTCATGCAGTATTCCATAAAGAATTAAACTATATAATATGCTCATGAAGTGTTGACAACTCTTTCACTTGATCATCAATGAGCTGGTTTTGCATTTTGACTTGCAGTACAGAAGTCTTGCAGATCTGATGGGGTTTATAAAGCAGAACATTTGTGAATCTGTATTTCTTCGGTGATTAAAAAAAAAAACATATCAGTCACGTGACTAAAAATATGAAGCACTACACCTTAGGCTGAGAGAAAGGCTTATAATGCCATTGTCAGCATAAATGCCACAGTCATGTTCAATGGGAAAGACATCAGAGGAACCTGAGCTGTTACTTTGATTGTTGACCTGTGCTGAGCTTCAGTCGCATCCAAGTGAAGATATCACAAATTTACCATTCTTAGAAGTTGCCAGAACTAGATGGCCAGTTAATTCAATAGGATTTTTTGCAGAGTTATACACGTGTACAAATGTAAACAAGTGTGAGATTACTTACCATTTATACTGAGTTAGATAAGATGGCACCGTAAAACTACAAATTGCAGTGCTTCTGAATATTTGAGATTTCCCTTAGCCAGAGTGATGCATATGCATTCAGGTAACACATAACCTTTATTAGAATGTTTTTCCTGAATTCTAGAGCACATTATAGACCAATCCTGCCCCTGGAGGGCCAGTGTGTCTGCAGGTTTTCAGGGTCTTTAATAAGGATTTCAGGATGTACACATGCAAAAGGAAGGCAAGACATGGCAGACCCCCGCATCATATATCACAATGAACACTACCTTCACCTTTTTTCCCCACCAAACAACTCTGATGAGCGTCAATTTTCATTTCATTGGATCACAAGACTTGTCTTGCGGGTGTAGTATGGCAAACTGGAGTCATCTCTGTTGCTGAGTCTCCTATAACAGATGAGCCATGCTTGCCACATTCAAGCAGACAAAGCCAAATGTAAGTTTTCTACACTTCATATCCTGAAGATGTCAGTACGCATTGGAGATCTCCAGCTGTTGCCTCCTATTCAAGATTGCCTCCTGAACCACTTATCAAACAGCATGTGACGGCAAGATACACTTGCACTTTCAGCCTGGCCAGATTGTCACTATACCAGAAGTCTTACATTTCTTAATAATGAACAACTACAGTAGAAAGTTATAAATTCAGTTTTTTTTACAAATTCTTATATGGGCCTGGAATATATCTGGTAACTGATTTCTGGTCTAATTGCATAGCAGAAATGTCTTTGTAACAACCACTACATATTATTGTAGTGCGTTGTACAAATTTAACATGAAACACCCTCATTTACATGCCATTCTTTCAACTGCATCCCACATTCCTGTTCGCATTTTTATTGCTACGTCAAAGTGTCTGGAGAAAGAACATGATGTGTCAAATTAAACACCTTAGTGTTTTTCATACGGCGTAAAAGATTCATATGTGTTTCTTTTTTTCATTTATAGTTTATGCTTTTGTTACTTGCAACTAAGACTCTGCAATTTGTAAAAATTAAATGTTATGTTTGCCCAGTCATGAATTTTGTCTGAATCTTTTTGAATGCCCTTTGCTTGTTCTCCACTGGTTATTAATCTGCCTGTTCTGGTACCATTACCTGACTTTACAAAGGTTCTCTCAGTATTTGATCTCCAGCCATAAGATAATTCTTATGAGGGCTACATTTGAATGACATCCACTATTTGACTAAAGGTTTTCAATATTCCAGTTTACCTTTATCAGTACAGAAGCCTGTCTCTTTTATTATTCAACTTGATGGAACACTACATGATAAACCAGAACTCTGATGTTAACTGCCTTTACTCTTGAGCCCAGCACCACTGAGAAGAGATTCATATTCCACAGTTTAGAAGTTTATATATAAGAATCAATACAATATCTAGTATGTGGGCTGAAATAAACCATGCGGCAGTTAATGCCCATGATGAAAATTGATCTTTAATTGCAAAAGACTACATGTTCTTTCACAAGGCAAGACTATCAAATTCCTGTTTAGAATCCAATTCTCAATAACAGCCTGAAGTGGTCATGCATACATCTTTCATATTCACAATGATTAAAAACTGTTTTTTGCCCTGATCCTTTGATCTCTGACACCAAGCCCACTCCATCTCAACAAGGAAATTAATTAAAATTTTAGAAAGAGAGCATGGCGTCCCACCCTATCGTACTTAAAAAAAATCAATCAAACTCATCCCCATCTCCACCCCAGATCTGCACCTTATTCTGTTGACATCTTATTCCATATCTCTTCCGCCTTTATGTACCAAAAGTAACTTCACTTAATAATGACATAAATCACTGCTGTGCCTTTGCCTTCTGACCCACTCAAAGAACGCACAAGCAAATCATAAAATGTAATTATCATAGTACAACAGTGTGCGTATAATTTATCCCTAGATAAATATGGGCTCATTTAGACCCTATCCATTTTTAATTTAAGGCGGAGCACTTCCCCCACAATAAAATTAAATTTGCATTGGCTGTAAGAGAATTTAGTTTGATGATTTATTAAAGCAATCAACGCCATATTTGCAATCCCTCTCTTATTTTCCTTTTCCTCAGGAACTTCAGCATGTGATTTGGAGTAGTTTCTGCCTGGGCCTGAGCAGCAAATCGCCAGATTCTCTGTTTGATTAGATTAGCATTAAACAACACCCTGACAGATATGACAAATAGGTGCATTAGACCATGTCATTTATTCTCCCTTCTGGATGCTAAGGTTCAGTTCTTTCCTGTGCCCCAGCTCCCCAAATATATGCAGCAAATGACACCGAAACTGATGTGTAATCTCTCTATATTACCTTTGGAGAATAAGTGTAGTGAATAATGCGAGATAAATGGGAGAGAAAAAGCAGGGGAAAACATGCTTTTCATTAAAAATAAAACTGATAAAATACACTGGCAAAAAGAAGTGAAGTGTAATTAATCAATTTAGTTTCTTTTTTATTGTAGTATGGTTTTAATTTTTATTTTTGGTGCTTCACATGTTGTTTATGGAAACAGGAAAAGTACCCCAAAAAAGCCTTTTATTTGCCCTGAGTGTTTGAATGCACGGATGCTGCAAGCCTAATGCTCTCCAACACCGCAATGTAACACCCATTAGGTGCGATCTCCTGAAGCCACAGCTCTTATTGCGGTTTATTGACAACATGTAGTATTGATTTTTCACACCTGCTATGATTCTTTCATTTGTATTCATGAACTGTCCATCAGCATTACCTAAATAAATCTGGCAACATCGCCACAAAAAAATGAACAAGTCGATGCAAAAAAGCATTAATTTTGCATTATCCTTATTCATCAGCCAAGTAAACCATAAGGGCCACAAAATGAAGGTCAAAGGTTTTTAAATGGGTCGGAACCCTTGACCTCTGTACCAATACTCTACTCATTAAAAATGCCTTATTGTACATTTTTTAAAACTAATAAGTGAAGTTGTATTGACAAGCAAGGGCTGGCTGGAAAGTGGCTGGAAAGATAATCAAGGTAATAGTCTCTATTGCATATAATATGAGAGCAGTAAGTCATTGCCTGTGAGTAAGAAATTACTGACTATATTAAGCCGTAAACACAATGAGTGTGAATCTTCTTTAGCATTATTTAAGGGCAGTAAGCAGATAACTTGCCTGAGAACACAGCAGCATAACCAGCTCCACCACCGAACTGCTCGACTTCATGCAGACCAAACCTGAAAAGACAAAAGGCCACCCATTCTCATACACCACCTGACAATTCAGGAGTCTTTGCTTATCCACATTCAAACACATTCTGAATGGGCACTGCAGCAACCTGGATTAATTTACTGTACAGAAGAGTCAGGTTTCATTTTCAAATGAGGTCAAATCCCCCACTACTGATAAGATGCCAAATATATTACAACACCTCTTTTGTTAGTTGATTAAAATCTGAAGCCTCAAATGTATTTACTTATTCACAGAAAAATAATGATGGGATAGTGGTAAATGAAAATTAAAACTGTTTTATCAAATACTGCCAAAATATATGAAAGAAGATTATTTTTCTTAATCTGCATGTATGTGTACTTACGTTTTGCTTATTAATGAAACTTTTTGGACATTAAAGAGAAAATACAACATTATATTTAGCAAAATCCTTATGTGTTTATATATCTGGAAAATGGTTGTAAATTTATTCATACTGAACATGTGGATTAACTGATGATTCAAATAAAACTGGAATAAGCATATTACTAGAAAGATCAGATAAAAAAAAGATTAACGGAGTGTATACTGGCTAGGATATAAAGCATAACGGAACTGTATCATGTATTTTCAAGGTAGATTCAGAAATCTATTGTTGGGCGTATTTTAAAAAATGAAATAAAATTGAATAGTCATTCACAAAATTTAAAACAAATCACCCCATGTATTGTAGGCAGCAAAAAGCTAAAGAACAGATTAATAGTCCCTTAAAACAATGTGCTGTTGGTTCTTGGTTTTGGATTTACTTTATGTTTTTGTTATATCAACTGCATTATCAATGATTCATACAAGATTTACACAAAAAAAGGCTGAATTAATTCTGCAACATCTGCAGGGATGGAAATATTGATGACTTTAATGAACCGACAAAATGTTACTGTAAACTAATACATATTTGTGCCTTGTATTACAGCTACAAATGTGCAGAGCATATGTCTTATTGATCCATCATATCTGCATTTTGCTATTTCAGAGTGAGGGGGTTATTACATATGCAGAGAGGGGAAATGGCTTCATGACCTTTGCTTTCTCAGTTACTCGCTCCCTTCAGCCCTGCAGCTATCAATCAAGTTTCCATTTTGTTTGGTGGCAGTAGACATCCAAAACACTCTTATTAGTAGCATGACCCCTAACCCCTTTCTCTATAAAACCTTTGCAGAACTGTAATCAGTTAGTTAAAAGATACTCTAGATGGTTTACGGCTTAAATTTGATTACCATGGTGCTTCAAAATATTAAGAGCCTACACTTGAAAGCTGCCTCATTCATTATGGGCAGCTTCCAATAAACTCCAATAAAGTCTGTGGTTCATTCATAACAGGACTGTCCTATGGATAACTGCTTAAACCTGCTGCCAAGGATGACTTTAGGCTGAAGCCTGGCTGAGCCACATTGCAGTTCCTCTTTAATTTTTGGTCTGCAGTCACATGAGAAGATTCAAGTGATTCAAAATGCTTATGCGTCTAAATTATTTAAATCCTGTTACACAGCAGTTTGTGTCATTCATGTAGGTGTGACATTTTATACAGGTAAAGGATTGTGAAACCAATACTCCTATGGTTGCACTGACAGCAAGAGTGGATGAATTACTTACTTGTACCTTCTATAAGCAGCTCTTGACCATGGCTGCCTAGAAGGGTACGAGAAAGAAAAGGAGCAAAGTCCACAAAAATCTCCCTTAGGAGAGGTGCTGCCTTTTCCAAAGCATGTTCAAGCCTTTCAGAGATGCTGCAAGAAACAGAAAACATGTTTTTCTTTAGTAAGTCAATAGTGGGTGGAAGCAGTGAGATGGGAGTTATTACGTATAAACATAACTGGAGAACTTAAAGCAAAGGATGATTTTCACAGGCACAAAATCATTAATTGAAGAAAAGCCTCTCTAGATCAAGACACAGAAAGACACCTTCAAAAAACAGTTCTGCTGCACCTGTTCCCAAAGCCAAATGCTTTTAATCAGAGTATAAAGATTCCCCATTAGTCTGAAGCTGGAGGAAAACACATAGAAAAAAAAGTACAAATAAAACATTTGGATATGACCTATGCAATACTACACATACTATGCACATGCATGGATCAGAAATTCTAACTTCTTCAAACTAGATTGCAATGTCATGAAATTGATAAAATACATTAAATGCAACTAAATATCCCATACACATGAAAACCAAAAAAATATTTTTCTAATCTAACTAACCTGAGAAAGAACTCAAAATGGTTCCTAGAGCAAAAATATCTGTACGGAATTACAAATGACAAAAATGCCATCCAAAAGATATGACGGTACCTCATATTTGAAACAGATTCCTGAGTCATTGGGGACAGTGTGGGAACAGATGGAAGATTTGCACTTGCAGATCCACTTCCTATACATAATGGAAGAGATTATTACATTTATAGTTTGCCCAACTATAATTCACTGATTCTAAAAAAAAGGTTACATTTCATGTCTACAAAAATGAAAATAAAGATGAATGAAAAGAAGGCGGCGTAGTGGTGTAGTGGCTAGCATTGCTGCTTCGCAGCACTGGGATCCTGGGTTTCATTCTAGACCTTGGGTGCTACTGGCATGGAGTTGTTATGTTCTTACTGCATTCGCATGGGCTTCCTCTAGACGCTCCCATTTCATCCCACAATCCAAAGACATGGGGGTAAGTGAATTGGCTTCTGGGAAAAAATGGCCCTGGTGTGAGTGTGTGTTTGTGTGTCTGGCATCCTGTTCAGGGACGGATAAATGAAAAGCATTGGATAGCAAACAGCGTGTAAATTACTATATTGTTCATGGTCAACAAATGATATTAGAGAATTTTTAAGTGAAAAGATTTCTTTTAATGGATATAAAGTTCTATATGCAGGGGTACTTCATGTACAACAACATTCTAAAAAGTAAAAAGTAAGGTAATGCCAAAGGCACAATAATGGAACTCTGCTGTTCACTAAATGAGATTGAGAATGTTACAAAATTCATGATATGAAAATCCATTTTAGTTTTTAAGACAAATATTGCAGAAGGGGACGTTATTCCTAAATAGAGCTGAACTCTCCAACAGCAGGAATCCCAGGCTGTTCCTCTGTGCAGTGCTGAAGCCTGAACTGTTGGAATCCCAGAGTGAGGAAAATCAGAATTTGTCTTGCACACACATGCAACCTGGTATTCGCAAGTAGAGGCAAATATGGGAAAGCATGTACTACACACTCCACGCATGCCAAAGTAACTCCAAGTAAAACCAACTTTGCTATACAAATTTTGGTGTGCAACTCCATCCGATTTAAAACAAAATGAGTCACTCCCGCTCTAGCCCATCTGAGAAAAGTAAAAGTATCTTGTAAATTATAGCATGTTCAAAATAAACTTTTTCAAGCAGCCACAGAGGCCTATTTTTAAGAGTCTCAGAAATTACATGAAATTTTAAGGCATTTCTGCAGGATTGTATTATTTTGAAGAAAAGGATCTTATCACATTCTTGAGCAAATGTAATGATAAGCATGTTTCAAAACTCAACAAGCACCTTTGACAGATTTTTTCCAACATTAGAACTATATCGAATTTCCCAGTTGCGTAGCAGTCGGTGCATGTGACAGACCACATGGCTACAGAACAAGCAAATGTGGCTTTTGGAAACTCTCCCGGGTGTAAATGAAGTAGCCACTTCAAACATGTGGAAGTAAATTAACTTATCTCTATTAATCTCCTCCCTGATAAACTGTCTCCTTCAGAGTGATGGTTTTACAGACATTTACAAGGACTTGAAAGGAAATGCAAATAGATTAGCTGTTCAGCGTTTACCCAGTGTAGCACTGTTTACAGAAACACACAAGGGCCCAGAAATCCAAGAGGCTTAGGAAAATAAAGCCTAAGACTTGGGTTTTACATTCAGAAATACAGACTTTTTAAAATGAGCCTATATTTTAAACATCTTAATCAGCTGTGATTGGACATATCATTCTGTGATTATTGTAAAGGCTCTATTTGCAGTATGGTTTGTTTGACTCAGTCTTGATATCTAAATGTCTTCAAAGCATTATCACATAGGTTCATCTAAGAAAAAAATATGATTAAAAATCTGCAAAACTGCAATTTAAAGTGTTATAACCTTCCACTAGTTTTCCTGCAAGGAATGTCAGTAAATTTAGAATAGAGTATAATGTTACACCTGAGAAGGTTTGTTTCTGCTCAAGAGTGTAAAAAAACTTTTTTTCTCCAATATTTGTATTGCATCTGCAATTTTAATCCTCTTAAGTTCATGTTGGTGTTACACAATCAAACTGTAGGGTAAAAAGTATTTTTGTACCCTACAAAACAAAAAAAATATGGTTTTTAAAACAGCATTTGTATCTAAAATAACAGGTCATGTAAAAAAACATGTTTCACTTATTTCTGCTTTATATCAGTAACAAAATCATTTTTATTTGCTAAAGCTTGTCAGAACAATATTAAAAGACATACTGTATCTAACAATGGAAGTGACTGTTTCAGAATGGTTGTCTACCATAAATATCTAAATATCTTAAAATGTATATTTTAAATATTAAAGAACCAGGATTCCTTGTATCCAAGCCACAGATGAAGAAGGAAAAAAAAGCTTCAGAAGACTGAATAGCAGATGAATCTAATGAACAAACTACAAATGAAAATCCACATCAAGCGCTTGAGTGGACGTTTTTCTCTTCTTCACGACTTTCTACTACCTCCTTCATACAAACAGGTTTCTCTTATCAGTATCTAGAAGCTTTGTTTCATTAATGACTGATGCAATTCTTCTTTGGCCATCAATAAAAACAACAGGTCAAGAGTGTTCAATTGCAGGGACTGTAGCAAGTAGCAAAAATCCTTTAACTTTCTCCTCTTACCATACAAATCCTGGTACATCAGCTCACATGACATGTCAAGCAACCACAAATATTACCCAATAAATAGTCATGGGAAATGAATCCCATAATCTGTGGGGGATACTTAAAAAACAAGCTTATGTGCTGATGCAATCATAGCTTGGAAAATGCTACTGCAATTCCCACAACGTTTCACAGTTTATTATACCATCCCACCAAAAGTAGAAGAAATTCAAAGAGGATTTTATTTCAGTCTGATGTGCCGTGACAGTCGGCATTTAAAAGGCATCTCTATGATGAGGAACACAAATATTCAATGTTGTCCTAGATCATCAACTTCTGCTCTTCACAGACAACGCATGTTGTAGTGATGGTTTACCACAAGCCACCCATCCAACTGCTGGCAAAGCTGTATGTGGAGCTCAACACAGTGCTCAAGCTAAACACTACAGGGAAAAAATGGTCTGGCCATAAATCAGTTAAAGTCATATCTCAAATCTGGCAATTTTCCAGTTCGTTACAATTTATATTGCATATTTTGTAGCCAAGAAGTGAAAGGGTAATATGGGTTATTTACAGTATGAAGAAATCTGACTCTTCCTAACATTTGATTTCTTCAGCAAATGTTTAGAAGTGTGAAGCTCTAAAACTTTTCGGCCCTCAGTTTTTTAGTATTGGGAAATTATAGCCATAAGTTTCGTGGTTAACTCACCGGCGGAGTTCTCGGCTTCAGCACTGTGGGAGGCGTTGCCAGCGGAGACCACACTGACGTCGCTGACGGGTGTCCCGCTTGCAGTGGCAGGGGCAGGGGTGGCAGGAGAGATGGTGCCTGTAGCTCCAGCTGGGGCTGCAGCAGCCTTTTTGGGAGCTACCACAACACTTCTGGGAAGAAAAGAAACAGATATACATAAACCAGTGCTATTATGCAGATGTAAACAATATTTCTAAAACACGGAGTGGGACAGTTTAGTTCAGGCCTCATACAGTGGTTGTTCAAAGACCTTGTTAAAACAATCCAGAAGCCTCACCACTATCTACACAGGACATGTCTTCCAAACTGTTCTCTTAAGAGTATGTTACCTGGCTCTGTGCTGTACCTGGGCACAACAGCAAACATTTGGACACCTCCGTTATATTACAAAGAGTTCTTAGGAAGTCACTTAAGTTTACTACATTTACGAACTATTCATTTTGAACTATTTACCAGATTAACACCTCTAATGACTTGACCATGAATATTACTGCAAAACTTGCTGAACTTTCCACACCAGTGCAACATTCAGAGGACTTGCTTAATAATTAGTGATGGACTCTCCCTCTGCCTGTTGGCCTTTTTAAAAACTCAGATACACTGTACGGTGATGATGCAGTTCTTTGCTAATCAAATTGAGTACGGCAGTGGGCAAGTCTCAAAACTACAATGTGTGGACCAATAATTTATTTCAGGATAATTGAGTTACTGTACGCAAAGAAAACTATCTTTGAAGAGTTCTTCTGCAAGAAGCAACCACTCTGCATAATGCATTTGAAATAAAAATGAACACTTGTGCAATAATTAAAACGCATACAGAGTAAACATCCATTCCAGGAGATTCCATTAGACTATGGAACATTAATTTCACAAAAGATACAGCCAAGCTTGCAAAATAAAACCGAGAGCCTATTAAGGCAGTGGGAGCAATAGATGCAACATTTCCCTGACATGGGATTTTCTTTAATTGTTGCATCAATCTTCTTTCAAATCAATGTGTATAATGTAATGCTAGCTCAACATATTTCTCAAAAAATTTTAATTACTGAAGTCGAATTTCTATTTTCATTTCAATTTCTTCTACAGAGACTACTGAATATAGCCAGTGCATAAATAACCCATCTCCAATCCATTAGCATGAATTGAAAAGAGTGATACACGTAAGATGCTGTATAAAGTAGGTCATAATTCATTGTATTTCTTTATATATACCTTTATACTGAACATATTGGCAAACGTTCAAAGTCATGATCCAACCTGATGAGTATAATGTACTTTAAATATTCTTCACTTCAAGACACTCTTTTATGTCAGTTCTTCTATCTAGAGGTCTCCCTGATTTCTTCTGTTGTTTTATCAACTCAGTTCATTTACAATGATTGATTCCTGACCTATATTGGGGAATTCTCAAAATGCAGCTCAAGTGGCACATAACCAGATTATTCTTCCAGTGATATCATGGATTCACAAAACATGACATAAGAATAAAATTATTACTAGTTTTAGGTCAAAATAATTTGCAATTTTTTGCTCAAGTCTTAAAGAGATATGGAATGGCTTAACATGAAAGATGAAAGATACAAGTCTAAATTGGACTGAGGAGATCCAGCTCCATGCCAGGCTAACAATAACAGATTGATCTTTGTGGTGATAAAAAGAGTACATAAAAATAGCACACATGCAGATTACCCCATTTTCGTTTACGACCTCCTGGTTTGCAGTTGAAACACTAAACAACAAATGTTTAACCTATCTCATTAAGATGATATTAAAGGCTGCTTTAATGAGAATTTTTTTACCCACAAGAGGTGCAAGAATCCTACTAATTAGGAAAAGCTTACCGCCAAAGCGCAGTGCACTCCCTGAACAGTGCTTAATTTTAATTACCAAGCACTATCCATAAGCTGGAAATGTGCTTCATTCATCTGGATATTTACTTAATTACATCTTCTGCAGGCTGTGCTACAAAGAAATCCAGAAAGAATTCCCACAATGGTTTTAAATACTTACATTTGGTAAAAAAGCCCTGCTGAATGTCCGCTTCAGACTTTAAAAATGCTTTTAACCCCACTTAACAATGGAGACACACTTTTACAATGCTCTTGGTAAAGCATATTACAATAAGCATTAGCCCATAAAACAGAAGCTTAAGACATCATTAAACACCTGTGATAGTGCACATTTGTGATTTACGCAGAAGAGCACTGAACACAATGAATACCAACAAAATGCATGACTCTGCACATCTAAACATATCAATATTTTAATTGTACTGCTGTTTTTTAACCTTTTTAAGCAAAAGCAACATTTAATGCCAAAATTCAATACTTTCACATTTAAAAAAAAAATAAGCACTGTAATGAACTACAATTTGTCATGGTGTTTTCACTAATAAAAATACATAGGTTTATGAAATGGAAGTGCTGTAGTGACAAATGTATGAAATGCACATTATAGGAAGCATATATAAGCTGAATTTAAACACCAGCGTAATCAGAGAGACATTTAGTGGCATGCTTATCTTTCAAGTGACCATGTGTCATGCTTATTCTACAGGGCAGGAGAGAGTGTGTGTGTGTGCTTGGAGGTGGGGAGGGGTTGGTCCATCTGTTCTCCCATTATTTCTCTAAATTATTCAATACATCATTAGCTACACTTAGGTACATTTAACAGTGGCCAACAAGCTGGCGTAAATTAATCAGGCATCAAGTAATCTGTTAAATGGACTACCAATGCATCAATAGATTTGGATTCAGGACTTTGGTCACTGAATTATTTAGAAGGTTAACCAGTGCTGTTCCAAAGAATGTAAACAGACTGATTGTGGAATGAACTAACATTAGTGTTTCTATAAGTCTGACATTCAAAGGAAAGAATTTCTTCCAAATGTTATTTGCTTAAGTTTTCTATCAGTTCTGAGCAATTCCTAAGTTCTAGTTAACCACAAAAGGGATTCCCTTCCTCCAATGTCTTAAACATTCAATCCAGCGTAAAATGTGTTGAACATCAGAACTCTTGTATAGCCTTCAGGAATTGTAATAACTTTAGTAAAATATTTAATTGAAATAGTGTTATAAAGAGTCAAAAGCAAATTCCCCAGTTTGAAAATGACTGCCTCTTTTTCAGCATCAGAATTTGATTTCTAGGACGAATCCACAATCAATTAACAAAGCATTTCCTGTACACACAGAGTTCTACAGTCATCATCATAGAGGCAACAAAACAGACAATATTTGTTACACTACTAAATATGGCTAGGTTTGATTCCTAAAGTTTAACCAACAAGGGACATCCTTCTTCCCTTCTACATTTTTGTTATCCTGTGTTTGCAAGAATTTTGGTCTATGAGCTGAGCGAATGCACATACAAAAATGGCTCTGCATAGCCCTCTTCGTTTCATTCCTTGGACTGACTCCACTTATGCTCTCTATTGATCGGAAGATCGTCTTCCTGGCGTACAAGGCTTTGCATGGCCTTCGCACTGATTACATGAATGATTTAGTAACACCACATTTCCTGTCCAGACAATAACCTGTTAAGAAGGTGGGACAGTTCTGTCAAGACTTGAGCAATGTTATCTATTTCTAAGTCCTGGAACAGTCTGTTTAACCCATTTCTTTAAGTCACAGCTCTTAGTTTTGTTTTGATTACACTTTCCAAGTCCCTCTTAATTGGTAAATTAAAAGTAACTTTGTCTCTGCCCTTGCCAGTATTTGCAGTGGTTGTCTGTTTTCACTTGAAGTGTGTTTCACAAATCTAACCTGCTTAAATTTTTAAATAAGGAAAAGTTTTCTTTAAACACACAGCTCTGTAAATTCTTCTGTTGATACTAGTTACTCTTAATGACATCAACTGATAAACACTTATCACAAGCCCAAATGGTTTTTGACTTGCTTCTATGTTCAAAATTATACATGCAAAGAGAAGTGTAAAAAATAAAACTTAAATTTTATTGATCAAACATAAATGTGGCTGGAGAGATGTAATTTGCCTCTAAAATTCCTTCATTGTAAGAAAAAATTAGCAAAGCTAATAAGCAGATCTTAAATTGCATTTGTTAGTCAACATTATGTGTCTTCATTCTAATGCAAATCCATGATAGAAACCATAAAAAAAGCTCTCAAAACCACAAACATTTCCATACAGTATAGATATTCATAATTAATAATATGGGTAAAGGATTTCAGTGTTGACCCAGTTCTTCAGATACGACAGGAGGCTAACACTGAACAGGTCAAACAGAATGTTTTGGCCAAAGCAACAAAGATGCTACCAGCTATGACAACTGCACGTACCAAAGGAATCCACAGCACCAGCACAATCCACAGAGGGGCTGTCTGTCATTTCTCACTTTGAAAAAGCTGCTGACATTTGTTCTGTGAAGAAGCTGTATATTGTTTTCAGTCAATTGAAACACTTTAAATGGGAAGTCAAGAGTAATGTAAACACTAGTGTCTTGATGCAGTTTGAAAATGTTTCTGTGACAACTGATGGGCGTCCAACTTGTGAGACAGGCACTGAAATAAATAAGCATTATGGAATCGCTGTACTGTAGGTGGGTTTTTTTCATGAGCAACCTCCACAAAAGTCACCTTAAGTGCCAATTTACCTCTTCACAAAAGATCAATCTTAAGAAAACAGAGATGAGATATGAATATTCTGCTTTAAAATAAAACCATCCAGTTCAATTGCAATCAAATATCAGTAAAGGCAGAGTTATTAAAAAAAATACACATCAGCCTATGTATCTATTTACATTACATATATCAATGTTCATCCCATCTGTAAATGATATCAGCGTAAGGTCACATATTTTCAGTGGTTAGAGGGGAGAGGAGTAGCTTTACACCCCTAAGGAGTGCTTCTGCTTCTTAAACACAGCTGTAATCCTCAGCCTCTGAGGTTGCAAAGAGAAAGCAGATCCAGTCTAGAGGTGATGTAAAAGACAAGAAGCAAGAGCCATCAAGATAACTTGGCACCTTCTAACTGGGGCATGTGGATCCTGCATGAGATAAGAGGCAGACTTTGGCAGGGGAATGAAGAGGCACACCTTAATCTTTGGAAAGGACTGCAGTGCTGGCAGACCCAACAGGCTTCCTTTACTTAGCTGTTACTCTATACTTTCCAGCAGAGGATGGCAAGCCAGGGTTGATAATCCTTAAGATATGAGGAGAGTTTTGATTTCTGACAAAGCATTCCTCAGATAAATACAGGATCAGAGGGATGCCTTAAAATTCCCAGAGATATTAGAGTGAGTACCCTTTTCGACATGAGAACTTTTTACAAGGTGCCTTTTTCTATAGCAAGCATGTTAACTCAGTGCTTTTTGTCTGCCACAGAACAATACTTTAAATGTAAACCAGACTCTGCCCATCCTATAGCACATAGTCATGTCTGCGGCTACAGAGTTTCCCACTAAACTCTAACTGCTCTGGTATTTCCCGAGGGAAGAGAATTTATATTTCCAACTTGAGCAGAGCTTTTTTTTTTTTACAGAACAACCCCTCAATCCACAGAGGATGAGATGAAAAAGTATGCTTGTAAATAACTGACATGCTGAAAAGAAACAGCTTCCAGCAGCAAAGCTCTCTTTGCAGTCTTTTTTCCACCTCCACCAATATATAGTACAACCAAACCATTTTTATGGTTATTTTTAACAACTATGTTTCCTATTTCTTTGTTGTAGACCTTCACTAAGTATATAGTGCAAAGGGTTAAGATTTAAATCCATTGGGTGGTAATTGTTTCAGGTTGTAACCTCAGCTCTAACCTTGATAATTCCAGTGAAAAAGCTAATTGATCATACAGCCTTAGTGGCTACAATAAGGCACTATAAAATGTTGGATAGTAGCGGTTGATATCATACACTGTTCTACAGAGACTATAAGGAGGAATCCAAGATAAACCACAATTTGAAAGCAAAATGATTTGGGGCTCACCTGTCAAAGGAGCGGAACTGCACAGACTGGTCCTTGCTGCCATCTACAACAGCCCCCAGGAATCCTGGAGGGATGAGGTTGGGGTCCACAATGAGATCTTCTGCTGGTGTGCTCACCAGACTGCGCAGAATGTCCTTCACGTTGACATTCTTCCCCGAAGTGGCTGAAGCCATTGAGGAGGAGGCCTTACTCTCTTGCTCGGCGGCGTCCTGGCTCTTCTTCACCTCGGAGGAAAGCGTCGAGAGCACCTCGCTGATAGCGTCTGGCCCCGAAGCGTCCCCTTCAGCCCCGGCAGCGGGCCCGCGCTCCATCTCGCCAGCTGCAGCGGAAGCCTGCTCTTCTCCGATCCCAGAATCTCTCCGGCGGGAAGCGGCCCCGTTTTCAAGGTCAACGCCGGCAGCACACTTGTCCGTTTCTGGAATCAACACATTTCCAATATTGAGTCTACGCAGCTACACATGATCAAAAACCTTCAGACAAAAGGGCATCAAAATCAGACATGATGCACAAATGCAAAAACACTTATCCGCACAAAACTGTAAATACATTTTAGTTCTAAACATTTAAGTGAGTGTTGTTTGCGAAAACATTCACGAGACAAAATGAACACCTGCAGCTGCAGCATCTCCACCACTCTGAGAAGACTTCACCGACTGACTGCGCTGAGGATGTTTTCTCTCATTCTGTGGTTCCAAAATGTCCCTGTACTTCGAAACCATGAGGACTGAAATGAAGTACACCACAGCCAGGGCTAGGAACTGCGCCTGCTTGCTGTCCTCCTTGAAAAAGAAAACATTAACTACTGTTAGGGAAATAAGACTGTAATTTACCCAACATTCACTTGACAAAATCCAATAGTATAACAAGCAAGACTGTTTTTACTGTTTGACAGTTATTTAATGTAGTTGTAATTCTTCTCAACATTTTTCAATACTGCGTTGAAACACTCTAACCACATTTTGTATATTTTAATTTGCCAGACCATCTGATGTAAGATAGAATGGTGGGTGATTTTTTTTTACATTCGGTCACTAGGCTGCTTAAAAAGTTGCTTAAAAAAAACTTCAAATAAATATGTTATTCAAATAGGAAACATCTTACAGGTTAAGTAATATAAAAATAGGAAAGATCTTCAAAAACTAATACTGGGTGCTTTAGACTGTGTTATAGACAGCCTGACATTTTGATCTAGAAAAAATAAGCATAAGCACTGATGCATGAAAACAACAATCTACATTTTCAATGAAAACATAAATAAGGTTATTTATAAAATACACATTTTATAAGGAAAATATATTTATTTTAATAGTTGTTTTTATGATGTGGCTAACTGATAAAAACTGATTGCTGAAAACTGAAAACTCAAAGACAGGCAGAGATGGAGCCGAAGTGGACGGATACACAGAGGTTAATGGAGAAAATTGCCAATGTGGATTGAGGTCAGGTGGGGATTAAGGAAGTAGAATGGAGTCCAGGTTCAGGCAAGAGCAGAAGGTGAGAACACTTTCAAGGCAGATGTAAATGTGGCCTGCTCTGCTGTATTTCAGCTACTGTGCTGAAGTTCTGGCAGTGGACTGGTCAATGGTCTGGTGCTGACAAATGCTCGGGACAGACTAAGATTTAGGCAGAATATCAGTCGGTGATGCAGGTTAGCATTTCTGAGCACACTACATACTGTAGGTCAGAAGGATGCTCAATGACAGAGCACTGGATCAGTGGCAGAGTGGGGTTTAAGTATAGTGAGCTGATAAAGCTTCTGTTAATTAGACGTTAATCAGGGGTTAATCAGCCCAGGCAAGATCAAACAGCCCAAGATGGAACATAGCTCCTTGTGGGAATCTGGGAATGTGAGGGCTGTGAACTGATGCTCGCACATTCATAAAAGTGTTCCTCAGGATAACAGAATACTGACTGCAACTCAGGTGATTTCATAAAAACATGCTCTCCTTCAACAATCAACAAAGTAGTCCAGAGAATCTAAAAAACTAGCTCCGTGAGGGAAAGGTCTTGTTGTGGAAGGCACAAAGGGTCAACACAAAGGCACAGGACCATCTGATTAATTGGCATAAATTCACAAAGAAATAGGCCAGCTCAATGGCAGACTGGCTGTAGCCCACTGTCTGCATGAAAATAAACAGATGATACAAGGCATCTGGGATGGCACCAGGAAGAAGTGTTTCATTCAGTGATGAACGTTGGATTCCTCTTGACAGACCTTACTGTTCAAGCATACATCCTTGAGCCAGCAACTTTTCTTGAATGCTAGACCTGAAGTATAAACTTTATAGCACGGCATCATAAGACTACTTGTGGCTGTGAGTGCAACAGCATGGCTTCAGGAGGTCTTCCTGCTGACATCTTTCTCCTGACGCAAGTGCATCAGAGCATCTTGTGGAACTAATTCACCAATGTCATCAAAGAGACAACAGACTGCCAATCTTTTCTTTGTATCTAGCAGGTGGAGCGGCAGAAAACCCCACAGTAGTCTTTTCAGAAGCTGCTAAGGTCCATAAGTCAACTCTGTCTAGGACTGTGTTAATGATCAAAGAGATCATATCTGATACTGAATTTTAACATTTTTATCATGAGTTTTATCATGATTCTTTCATTTGCACTTTTATGTACATTTTCTGATATTTTTGTGTAAAACATTAATTTAAATCTGTTAGTCCTGGGTGTTGCATTTATTTTGAGCATCACTGTGTACAGAATAGATATGTCTAACCAAAGATATGTGCTGTGAAACTCCCAGAATTGTTTTTGGCGTTCAAGCTTTCTCTTTTGTTAAGAGCACAAAGAAACTTAGCAAAAAAAAAAAACAAACATTTATTTTTATCATTTTTTTTCTTGATTCTGTGTGAACTCACAATGTCTCTGAAGACCACAGCTCGGAGACGGTTTATATCCATGTCCTGTAGGAGGCGATCAAGATCCCTTACTGGGGAAATCCCTCCTGTTACCACATCAACAGGACTCTGAAAAAAATTAACCAGATAAGTCAGCTGATTTGAAACAAATCTTCTTGTTCAGTGACGAACTGGGCATTTTTATTGAACCAAATGAAAGCAGCCTCCCCAAGCAAGGATATGAGCTTACAGCCCTCCAGTGCAAAGTCCAGAGCCCGTATTCTCAACGCTATTCCACACTGCTGTGAAGGCAAAAGTAAAACAGAAAAAGTCTGCTATAATATTAAAATATGCTTTGAAAGACAGGTCTGATCTATTAACATCTTACTAAGAAAATGTGACAAACTTCTTTTTGTAAAAAGGACCGTGAACAATAACCGAGCTTTGAAAAGGCACAATAGCAGAAAGATTAAGAAAAAATATTAAGCTGTTTAAACTATGTTTACAGCACAAATTAAGTGTTTTTACTGGAAGTCAATTCATCAAATAAAATATATGGTTACTGCTTTCACACTTGGAAGAGCATTGGCTGAGAAACGCAATAAGATATGAACTAACGCAATAACTCAAGCAATATAATAATGCAACAAAGGCTTTTTTTCTTTCTTTTTCAGAAGCATTTTTGTTATTTGGGAAAATGTTTCAAAGATAGATATACCCTTGAAGGATAATACTTACAATTCACTAAGTGCAGCAATCCCATTAAAGTAAATCTGCAAAACCTAATCAATGATCGTTTTTCTCTTCTGTTCAGTTTTGCAGTGGAAAATGAGAGTTTCAGAGAAAAAAGGCCCCCAAAGCCCTATTCAGGGCTTACAGTAACAGGCTAAAGAAGATGGCTTAAATGATGCATGTTAACTGTCCAACAGTCCCAAAGGCTATTTTATCTATATACATGGCTTGGTTAAAAACAAATGCGAAAGTGTTGCTTGGAAAAATGGGATCAATTAAGGTTTGTAAGAGTTCACAGATAGCAGAGGAAACAGACAATGCATCATATTTATATGTATATACTGTACATTCATATACACATACACGGTACTGATCACAATTATGGTCATAGGTGTACATCTCTCTCAAACACAATTATGATGGAAAGCACCAACATAAATTAGGAATTAAAATGAAAAAATGCAGAGATTTTCTGGTTATATTTGACTGAAAATTGTTCTCACCAAACCCCCACCCTGTTTTTCTATAAATCCCTGCCATCGCTAATTTTTTGCCACATCAGTCCTTATCGACTACAAGAGCATTTCTGCCCGTTGCACACCTTTCTCTCCCGTTAAGCTTATCCTGTAACATTTTACAGGGATCAAAGTCATAACTGCAGAAGCCAGGGCATCAAAACGTTTTTGATGTTTTGTCTGATGTCAGGTTTCATCCAAATGTGCGTATGAGGTTATCAAACGTAAAACTATTTCCTAGCCATCAATCTGCCTTACAGATGATACAAGGTACTTTTTATTTTCCCTGTACCTGCTTTGTTCAGTGGCAAAAACCTACCCTAAACTTTTCCCCCTTTTGAGAATGACCCATAGAAGTTTCTGACAACACCCACACATCATTTTGCCTTCCACTTACTGTTTCTTGCAGCACCTAAATAGATCAAACACTGCTTCATCAGCATGTGACATTCTTCTCTCTCACTCATTTGACTGTTTTTACGGTGTAGTGCCCACTGAAGGCATTTTAACAGTTTGGCTGAACAGATTTTGAAACCATAGTGATCCACCTCATTCCCACTCCTCAGACACACCTCTATTGAGCACAATATCCCACCCTCATAAAGATTATGAATACATGACCATTTTGTCTTCTTCTATGGCTCACTTATTGTACACTTAGTGTATTAGTTACATTAGTACATTAGTTCTGGTTCTGAAAGCCATAGCGGGAAATCCTTATTCTTTAATAAAACCAGAACTTCCAGAGGAAAAACTAAAGTAAAAAATCGACACTATTTTTTTTCTTTTCAAATGTGTAGAACTCCTAAGTCTGACTCTTTGGTTTATGTGTAGCTTTATCATCTTGCTAGTATTGTAGCAAGATTAACAAGCGTCTGGATAATTTTACCAGTTTAGCATCCCATTTTCTTAAAAGATGTCATACCAGGAACAGAGAGTAGTCCAAACTACTTTACTACATTACATACAGTGCTGTGTCTGGGACTTTTCTAATATGCGTCACATAGATGTTAACTAGCTCATCTGCACAAATTTCAATATGACAGGGGTATGCATACTGTATAATCCTTTAAGAAGAAAAGGCATCATTGGTCTGAAATTTCACATTTCCAGAATTCCTGGGAATGTCAGGTTAATAAAATGGTATCTGACTTGCCTGTGCTGGGACAGATTTTCCAGTTCCCATGAGGCTTTGCATAGCTTTCTGTCCCCTGGCATTTTCCATGCCTGGTTTGAAGCGAGAGTGCTGCTGACATTCCAAACAGTTTCGGACAGCCATAGCACACACTGCAAGAGAGAAGAAAAAGAATAAATCAAATAGCCCAGGCCTCACAGTGACAAACACACCAAACCGCAAAGCCACACAAACAACAGAGCAAGCGGCTTCAGTATGATGAAACTTTACAAGGCTTGGGAGCTGCAGCACACGAGCATCAACAGTTAGGACCTTCAATAATTGAAAACATTAAAAAGGTGAGTGTGGCTTGACATCATAAAGTACTTTGTATACCTTGTTTCCCTTTTGTGTTTGATAACTTCTCATCTTTTCAGGCCAAGGCAACGGCGCTTGGAGCTCTTAATCTGATGTATCACATGCCATATTTAAGCGCAAGGTTTTTTATTTTCTCCCACCGCATTTGACAACTGACGAATGTAAAGCCTGAATCGTTTAGATTCTGGGAATTATTCTGGCTGGAATGGACGAGCCTTTTCCATTAGAGCATTCAGATACCCATTTATAAAAAGAAGCAAGAGAAACCTTGTTACAACCCAGCAATCAGATTACACAGCAGCACAAGGGAGAGCATAGCTCATAAAATATTAATTTCATAAAACCAGCTTTCTAAAAGCAGAGTCCGGTCTGCCATCCATTTCGTTCCATCTCACTATTATAATGGCCTAATATAAATTTAAAGGTAACGTGGAACCTTTGCGTCTACCTCCTTTCCATAACAAGTATTTAGGAAAACGAAGAAAACCTCAGCATTTGCCATTACATAAATGGAAGCAATCAGGTTTACTTGTTTATTAATCACATTGTAAGTCATGGTCTAGCTGACATCGGAGAATGAAGCAAGCATGAATAAAATGAATAATGCACGCGTCTGAAACTCTTTTATTCAGTTCAGCAACTCTCACTGCTGTCATTGTAGCTTTAATGTAATGGGATATAACCTAACAAGCCCAAGGCTAAGTCCAAGACCATTAAAGTGAAATGGCTAACCATACCGCCTATTTTATATCATTTTTGTGCTGAGGGTTATAATAACAAGATAAGAAAAAAAGAAAAATACAAACAGAGAAACAAGGCTCTGGGGCGATTAAATTTTTATATCAGTGGATCAATCTGAGGGAAAGAAACCTGTAATGGAGCCCTGCTACAGAGTGCTGCAGTAAGTGGTTTACCCAGTCTAAGGCACTGTCTCAGAATCCCCCCTGAAGACATGTTCTTTTCCGCCTCGATCTCGGTGAAGCTGAGAGAGCTGGCGAAAATCAGCACATCTACAAGGCTAATCAGTCTCTGGAGGAAGGTTACTGAAGCCTCAACGGAAAGACCCTGCGACGGCTCGATATTCTCCAGTTCGTGCTGCAGAGAAAACAAAGGAACCACGACTGATACAAGAGATTAGCCATCATTTTGCCTGGTAGGGGGGGAGGAAATCATACTTTCATTAAAGAAATATATTTAACAGCTAAATATTCTGCAGGAACAAAATGGTAGCAGCATTCATAAAGCAGGAAGCTATATAATGCAACATTTTTAAAAAATTTAATTCAAAGAAAGCATAGCGAATGACAGACAGATCCTCCACATAACTGTACATGACAGGCATTGTCAAGAAGGAGGACACCAATCTGCTAAAAACCAGAAGCCCAGCTGAGAGAGTAATGTCTAGCAGACATGGCGAGGACTCACAGTGGAAGAGGTGGCAGCAGAGAGCAGAGGTAGGATCCCACCACAAGCCATGATGATGTTGTCGACGACCTGGGAAATCAGGTGGACAGTGTTGTGCACAAAGATGACATTCTCACTGCTGTTCACAAAGTCCATCACCGTCTTGGTGGAATGACTGAAAGCAAAACACAAGACAATAGGCACAATGGTAAGGACAACCTTCAGGTTTACCTGTTCTTGAGCATAAACAGAAGCTAAGCCTTCATGTTGTGGCATAAGCTGCACTGTCAAGAGTTTGAGCTTTATAATCATCGGGCTATATCCTGCACCTCAATGAAAGGTTCATGACGGTGCCCACTTATTAGTACAGTAAAACGCAAATCCCACTTGCCATACTGCTTTGGTAGATAATGGTACTAAGGGAAGCTAGTTCATCATGTTCCCCTGTTAATTACATTTTTATCGTGGAGTCAGAAAACAAGAGTTACAAATATCCTCAACTCTGTTAAAAAGGCACTCCATGTATTAATAAAGACACTGAACACTGAGTGATAAGAATTAACAATTAAAAAAACTGTCAAGAATTAAGTGGTGCAGAACTAAAAACGTAGTTGACATCCATTTCACAAGCTGAGGTTTTATTTTCTCATTTGCTGCATAAATTTAATACCCTGGAAAATTATTCACATTTTAATAAAGATTTTTAATGCCACTAAAGCAGTTTATCTACCTAATGTTCCTGCTTTACACTTAGAGCACCAGAAGGGTTATCTGGATCACACTGTGTTGGAAATTAGATACAGCATTTCAGGGAGAAATCAGCACATTTGGGCAGGTTAACAACAGGTTAAGAACTCTGATCCCCTTGGTCTGCAGTATCCCTCACCTCCTCCACATCTGCACGTCAGTCTCGATTGAGAACAGCAGGTCTGTGAGCAGGCGTTGGTGCATGTGAGACCACATGAACTCGGGAATGCGGAACATGGTGGACCTTCCCGAAGAGGAGCCCTCTCTGCCCGGCCCTGCAGATCCAGCTGCGGCGGACGGGCCTTGACTCGAATCCTTCATTTAAAAATAGAAACAATGGTAATCTGTTTAATCCTTCATGCCTTTGTAAGTATTCCTATCCATATCTTTCATTTTTACTTCCTTGTTTGTGGTTAAATATAAATCTTGTAGAAAGTAAGAGTCCACACTGTGGGCAGGCTTAAAAAATTAAAAACAGCCAAATGTAAGACTAGTCAAAAAAGGTATAGAGGTTCTCAAAGGTGGTCAGTTCCCACCTGTAAATGCTCAGTTCACGTTTATGTCTCTCATATTCTCATATGTCATTTATCTTAATGTTAAATAAGACGTGATATATGAGATGATTTAAAGAACAAAAACTACAAGCCTATGCATTAAGATGATGGAAGTTACCAGTGATGGTTGTTCTTTCAGCGTCAGCCTTTCTGTGTCAGATGCCACACTGGAAACATCCAGCCTAGCAATCTTAATCTCTTTGGTCTTGGTTGTGCTGTTGCTGGAGCTCTCAGCACTCTCTTTATAGGCATCTCTGCTGGTTTCTGCTGCTTCACCACTGGATGTCTCATCAGACGGAGCACCTCCTGACTGTGATCTCTCCAGGTTCTCCAAAACCATAGTTCCTGCTGCTTCTGAAACAGGCTCCTCCTCTGTCAGATCTCCATCTGCCTTCTTCTCCTCCTCGGGTTGAGGCTCCTCTTCATTGCCTACATCTGCTTTTGCCTCCTTCTTAACTTCTTGTTTGTCCTCCCCTGTTTTTGCAGCTGACAAAGGTGTGGGAGAGTCTTCTAGGCTTTCATCACTGGGCTTATTTTGGTCACTTACAGATAACCCCTCAGTAAATTCTTTAGTGCGGATTGAGCCACCAGATTCTGCAAATTTGGCTTCCAGTCTTGCAGAGGCCTCGGAAGAAATTTGCTCTACAAATGCTTCAACTGAGTGGGCTTCATCTTTGGCTGCGTCTCTTGCTGCAACTTCATTTCTCTGAGCATCTGCAGGTTCACTGCATGTAGTGTGTTCGGCTAAGGGTCCGTCCTTGTTTTCATGCTGTCTTTCAGCTTTAGCTTCATCCCTGGAAACATCTTCAGCAGTAGTTTCATTATTGTCTTCAGCTTTTGTTTCTAATTGGTCTTTGAGTGTGACTTCCGCAGGACATTTGAATTCCAGGGAAGAGATCTTGGGCCCTTGGTCCAAAGGAGCTTCGTTAGGGGGTTGACTGACTGCCTCCTTGCCATCCTGTGCCTCTTCCCCAATGATGGGCACTTCAGTTTTGCCCGTTTCTTCAGTAGCACAAGGTTGAAGAGAAGCATCAGCACCCTCTCTATCTTCAATTCTAAGATCAATCACAGTAGAGGGAGCCATTTCCTCCAGATTCTGCTGCCCAGAGTCTTCAGGAATATTCAGAATGCTCCTTTCTTCACCGCTGATCAGGACGTCTGCTTCACTGCTGGCCCCGGAGACGGTTCTAATGGGGCCCTGTCCTACATCTTCCTCCCCCTGTCTTTGGTACTCCCTGAACATCCGCGCCAGGTTCTCTTTGTGATGCTCAAAAGTAACCTGAAAAATAAGATGTTGCACTAAAGACATCTGCAATCGTATCACGATTATCTATTTGACTGTGGTCATTCACCAGTTTTTTTTTTTTTAGCTTATAAGAGATACTGTAAGTCAGTATTAAGAATGCTCTCCTGTAGGTTAAAATAGCTTATTGTTTTAATATAAGAAAGGGAAGGGAAGCCCTTTTGGCCCACCTTGCTTGTAAAACATACTTCATCCAGCCATTTCTGACAAGAGCCCAGAGCTTGAGCCTTGACTACCAGGCTGGTAAGTCAGATATCCACAATTCATATAAAGACGTGTTTTCTACTCCCCATCCTAAATTAATTCCCAATAGTAAACTTGTGTCCTTGTTTCACTACCGACGGATAAATAGGCCCGCAAGTTAAATCCTATCTATACATCTTAGGATCTCGCATACTTGAATAAAATCTCTTTTGTTCTAGACTGTAGAGACTGTCTATGTATAACAGTACAACAATCCCCAAAGACTAGGAATCAAATCTGTTGCTCTGGTGTTGATCTCTAACACCCTTTCCATTACATGAAGAGCAAATATTCTAAGTGAGGTTTTAATAGTACATTGTAATGCTTATACACAACTTACCTGCATTTAAAGTATCTTATTATGTTATCTTGATGGGGATATAAAAAAATCTATGTAAATACCCAGTGTAGATTCCTGCAACTCCAAAACACCAACATGATATATATAGTGTATGATCCTATAAGGATCAGAATTTGCACTAATTGTACTTGTCATGTGCCTGCCCACAATGGTTTTATTAAGTAATCCCACTATTTCTATTTGACATCCCTCCTATTTTTGTATGTGCAATTTTTGTTTGCCAACACAATGAGAATCTTTTCTGAATCTGTTTATCTAGACCAGGAAAAGAAACAGGCCTAAAATCTGCTTACTTAAAGCTTGTGTCCCTTAAGATGACATGCAGATTTTATTTACTAATTTGTGATTCATACAGTATGCGCCTTTACCTTGGACTCCAATTGTTTTTAAATTGACTTTAAGAATCATGGCACAGCTGTTAGCATTGCTTCTTTTCCAAAATCCAACTTGTGTTTCTTAAAATGCTCTTTTTATTAAAGTGACATTAAATGTATATTTTATATTGTTCATGACATAAGTAGATCAACATTTTCTATTACTTGCCATGTGAAATATCTACTTTGAGGATTTGATATTAAAATCTATGCTTAGCTTTCTGTTTGCACTAAACGATGCATAATGCAAGTGTGTGTTCTGATTCAGAACCTTGCTATTTTTATAAAATGTTCTTTAGAAAGCTAAAACATACCGTATGCCAATGTTGTTTAAAACTTTGTAAAACCTTAGCTGGCATGAATCATGGGTTACAGTAAAACAATATGATCAGAGTTGTGGCATTTAACTTGGAAATAGCATGTTTTGGATCACTTGTTAAAGGGTGGCATAACAATGGATTTTCTTGTTTTTGCCAAATTCTAGAAGTGGTGTCCATCTACTAAGACCGGTTTTGCACTTTTCATTTATTAGTGGTACATTAATCAATGAGGGCCTGAAGACAGAAAGTCAAACCAGGGTAAGAATTTACCTATGTGTAGTTTACCATTTTTCCTAAAGGCATTTGCATTTGTAACAGAAAACCTGATAATTTGCAATTAATTAGCAGATATTGTTCTAAATTAGCTTGCTACAAGGCGAGTCATTAATCTTCTAAATCATTTGATTGCTAATCTATAGCTGTTTGCTCAGTGCAGAAAGCTTCTAAATGCACCACTAGTTAAAGACTCTTTTTTTCTTCAAGCTAACAATCACAACACTTGCTATGCCATTAATTTCAGCTTAATTTGACATTCAACATTTACCAATTAGTGGAAGGCATTCATAGCATATATCACAAAGTTGATATAATTAGTTTGGAAAATACAATTTCACAAAAGTATCCAGTACCTGCGCGGATGATGTAAATCTAACCCTTAAAAATGCTCTCCTTAAAGATCAAGTGACTTTATTGTAGGAAAAAAGTGCAACTCTGAGTAACCAAGTTTGGCAGTTTAAAATACCAGTTAGTGCTGCAATGTATGTTCAGTACTGGGTGGCCAACAAAATCAGCTAAAATCTGAGGCTAATTTACATTATGGAAAAAATCAGATGAAAAAATGAGGTAATGATTAAAAATACATTTTTACTTTACAAAAACATGTTTTACCATTTAACATAATGCAATTATGTTGAATTCTAAGCTTGGTCATACCACTGTACGTCAGCTAAATGAATAATAGGAATAAGACTACACTGCATGCTTCACATCTAATTCCTCGTACATTAGGAATGAATCAATATAATCCACCTACAGTTAAATAGAAAGAAAATATCTGTTTCATACATACATGATTTCTTGTTCACAAATGACAGCGATATCTACCTTCCTAAAGGCACTGGTCATTGCCCAGGTACGGACAGCCATGGTCCTGGGAAGCCACAATCTAATACTTCTTATAAGTCAGCTTTGAATCATCAATTTGTAAAGACTCGGAACACATATGAGCTATGATCAATTCACAGAGGAAATTACCAACTGGGTTATGTAGACATGTCTCTGTGCACAACCCCAGGAAAGAGAAATAACTGTTCTCCTTCCAGTTTCGTGCTGTAGGCAGTGATGGCTATGTGCTCTTCAGTGTAGATCAGTTTCGAAGCTGTAGACGTGCTGTAGGGCTGGAAAGGACCAGCTCCCATTTTAGATCAATAGATACAGTAAAACCACAAAACAAAGGGGAAATAAGAAGTCAAGCTCACTCTAATTGGATTAGCTAAATGCAATTTCTCCAAAAATCAATGTAGTCTGTCGGGCACATATCTGGATTTTTTTACCCAGCAAAGATCAAGATGCTAACATCTACCCAGACTCATCTACAGTAAAAGGAAATATTTGAGACCACTGGTATTCCAGGTGCTTCTAGTCCATGTTCAATCAACAGGCCAAGTCATCATATTCTAGATCATCCTGTTTATTATTGGGGTTTTTCCTATTTACCGACCCAAACTAGCTGTGAATATCAAATTTTATATCAAACTCTGGACATTAAATAGTCCTAAAACAGATTAATGTTATTGTGAGTCGAACATGGGCTCTATCATCATAGTTTTGTTCAGCAATAAGGTTTGCCACTGATGCTTCTTCTAATGCAACTCACTATAACCTTTACTCTACAACTGCTGGGCTCCCTCATATCCCCCATATTTTCTTGTACCTCAGTTTATAATCTATGACCACATAACCTAATTTCCAACTCCAATCAAATACCTTTCAGTTTGCAGTAGCCAGTGAGTGGAATATCCTACACCAATAGTTAAGGCTACATTCAATTAAATTAATTTATTAAAAAACAGGATAAAGCACTTAAGATTAATTTATTTGGCTCTTCATGTTTTTTTTTATTTTTCAAACATATTTAATATTTTTCTTTGCTGTCGCTTCATTTTCCGCTGCTAAATTATGTTTGCCTCTGTAGTCTACAAATAAGTCTCCTCTTAACCAGGCCATTAATGAAAATTAGAATTTCTTCTCAATTAATTGAGCCAGCTAAATAAAGGATATCTCATTATTATTACACCAATAACAAAATCCATGAAAGACAACTAGTTTCCTCTCTACAAATATGACAAAACAAGTTGCTGCAGGAAAAGAAAAAAGTGTGGACCAGAAACAAATCTGCTGTTCAGCAGTACTCATGTTTACGAAGGCATCTTAAGGCAGGTGAGGTGGAATAGAATATTGAAGCACAAGCCTCAGTGGATTCTCTTCATCTCTTATTTTTCCAAAACAAAGCATGAGTATGTACTATCTAGAACAAGCTGGTTCATTGTGCCTTTATCAGAATACCATATTCATCTTGATGAATCACTCTGGAACACAATGTTGTGTTATACATAGTGGAGAGACTAACACTGCCGGTAGAAAATGGTGTCACCTTTTGAAAAGTACATCTGTATATCTGCGGTCTGTTTGGTAGCAGTGCAGGATGATTTTAATGCTCAGAGAGTATGCCTGAAGCAATAATAAAGTTTTGCTTGTTCCATAAATGGAAAAGGACAGTAAAACACAAAACAGTTTGAGATATTAACTTGTAGATTGTTAAGATTGCTAAACTGTAAAGGCAGTAAGAACTATAGATTTTCCAGCTGAAGATGGATAGAGCAACCTTGGTAACTCAAACACCTTTGCTGTCTATACTTTGATATTTCTGGAAGCAAAGACTTTAGAATAGGCCATTGTTAATGTATACTATAATTATTAGCAACCACATTTATGTTGTTTAATGTTACACTCATTTTACTGCACGGAGCACAAACCCGGAACTGCAGATAATGTAATTAAAAGGTTTTTTAGAAAACATATACAGTAAATTCTTCAGGTTAATTCTACTGAAATGCACTGAAATGTGCACTAGCAAAAAAAATCTGCAGCATGTCTCCAAAACTAACAGTTTTGCCAAAAACTGTCATCCCTGTATCTGTGGGAACAGCTCATCGAACACACAAACAAGAACACCTCAGGAACAGAGCCCAGTGGACTGGCAGAAGGTAGGGGCTGTTGTGTCAGCAGGCCCACAAGCAGAAACATCTGCTTGCACAAAATGTGGGCCAGTAGCTAAAACAGAAGGCACAGCTAAGAACTCGGCCAAGTCTGAGCACTTCAGAAAGTAATGAGAGTGCTCATACAAGGCTGACCTTAGATCTACTGGATGACAAAAATGTGAAGTCCAGGAGGCTATGTCAAATGGAACAGCAAGAGACTATAAGAATTTCTGAATTAAGTAAGCAATCTCCTCAAAAAGCTCTACAGAACTGTGCAAGCTTTATAAGAATGGAAAGCTCCAAAATACAACCTAAAATAATTTCAGGTAAAATATTTTCTATATTATAAGCACCTTAAATTAAGATAGTAGCTTTTTTGTACGACACTATCAATATTTATTAAACGTATTTTTCTAAATTTTGCTTAGAGAAGTGAAATGTTTTGCTTTTCACTTTTTACATACCTGTACTGAAGCAAATCGTGATAACTGCCAAAATTATTCTCTAGGTAGTTTTTAGTAAAGAAAATGGATAATGGCATTACAGAAGTTACACCACATTGTTTCTTTCCAGAGGTAAATGGTACTGATGGTATTTTATTGAAAACATTCCCCTACATTTCAAATGCATTCTTCATGGGTTTTCTAAATGAAATTCAAAACCCATAGCTACATGAAACAAAAAAGGTACAAATTCTCTCTCTTGTGCTACTGTATTTTTTTCCACATATATCATTAGTAAACTGCTTAAACACACGGAAACCAAATATTTTAGAAGAAAAACTGAAGAGTAAATTGCAGTTTTTAAAGGCCTCTGCAGAAAGACGAAATGGAAAGGTACAACTCTCTCAGGCCTGAACAGAAAGCAGTCGCACGGACCTCCAGCTGTGGGAGGAGTGGATTACAGTGACAAACAGCCTGGCTACCAGAAAGGTGGCAGGAAATCTATCAAACTGGACAATAAAATTGCAATTGAGTTTCTTCTGCTTTTTTATAGCAGATGCATGTATCTTGATGTGTAGCACTGGCAAGCCTATCGAATTCTGCAAGTCTGGTTCCTTGTCGGAGAACAGTGTTTTTAGATTAGTACCAGCGTATTGTAAACAGCGCAAAGCAGATAAAGCATTAATCTTGTACAATTATAGGAAAAAAGCAATTACAGCCTGTCTGGGGTTGAAAAGCGTGATCAATTCCTCTACACTTACTAGAGTGTTGGTTGCGTTCCTTCAGTTGGTTAAACTATTTTCCACCGTGTCTCAGTTCAAAAAGAAAAGGCTGCTGCATTATTTAAAAACTAAAACAAAAATCAGTCTAAAAAAATAAATTCCTAAATTATTCACACAAAAACGCAGATGATATTTCTGAGCCCTACATTTTCATTGAATCCAAATTCAAAACCATCTTGAAAAGCAGTGAATGATTTTTATAATCTAACTAGTTCAATTTTTGCTTTAAATAACATAAAATGCTGCAAATATGAACATAAAGTGGCCTTTGTATATTTATAAAAATGTACGTTAAAAAAATATCCAGTTATTTTTGTAATTCATTTTGTACTCTACATGATTTACTCAGACTTGTGATCAGAGATCCAAAAATGAACAAGTACACATTAGCCATCATCTGAAAAAAGCATTAATCAGAACAGCATTTTAAAAGGAAAATGAAATATGGTAGCTGCAGATCTATTTTTTTAAGTAAATACAATAACACTAAATTTGAAACGGTCATTTTTACCAAATGGGGTGTAGATTACTTTTTGAACTTGTTTGCCATTTATATACCACAAAAAAATAGAAGAAAGTGACATTAAACCTACAGATAAAAACAATGCACGTAGTCAGTTTTATCTGACTAGTAGGATTCATATTTAAATTAGATTAACAGAGGCCTGGAGACCTGAGCCTTGATCACATAGAACAGAGCTGTCAGAGACAGTCATACCTCGAGCACACTCGCCAAGCAGAACAGCTCTGCCACCTGGTGGTCCAGAGGCAACATTACTTCACTAAAAGGAAACCGTACATTCAAGAAAATATCCCAAAAGCTCAACGAAAATGCCGTTTTTAAAATTAACAATGCCAGTAAAAAGTGGCATCCACCAACCTAACTTTCCTTGAAGAACGTACCTAGTTTAAACATGTTCAAAATACTAATTCAACACACCAAAGCACAGATTTTGTCCTAGGCAAATCCCTGAAAAACATGTTGCGTGACAAAGAAAAGTGTCTAACTCTAATAAAATAAAGTGAAATTTATTTTATACAGGATAGCTGATTCTCCTCTATGGAAACCTTTTCTTTTTTACCTTGAAAGAAAAGGTTAATTCCTTATCGTGGCCTATAGATTTTAATCAACAAGACCTTTCCAAGAAAAAATGAAAAAAGAAAAGAAAAGGAAGTGATGTGTTTCTCTCTACCTTGGAGTGAGTGATGGATAGAGTATCCACCCAGACACGCCAGCCTCCCCACTCGTACTTGATGGCGTGGTAGAGGAGGATCCGGAAGATGGCGTAGACCATTTCGGTTATCTTCTGCTCTTCCGAGTTCTGGGGATTGATGTAACAGAGGGAGAGCATCCACTCCTGCCACACGGAGCACTGCAGCAAGCTCCTGAGGGACACAGTGAGCACAAACCCATCAACACACCTATGTCTTTCTGCTGTTGGAAACTGAGAATTACACACCACACAAAGAAGACTGGCAGTATGACACCCTCTTTTAACAAATAAGAGACCAACAGGACCCATTTCCTGTCGCTGTCTTGATTCTAAATTTGCCTGGGCAGGAAAAATACAGTTTTAGTACCCTCCGCCTCCATGAACCCTTACCGCCTGTTGTCTCGGCTGTTATTGAAAATTTTGATCATGTCGGATAAGAAGACTCTGCGCACATCCATGCTCTCTGCACACTGGGGGGAATTCTTCAGCAATGCAGCTATTACCTTCAGGATCTCTGAAACAAGTGGAGGACAACTTTTATTATTTTCCAATCCATTAAATAAACGTAAAATGAGCTGCTGCCTTCAAGGTCAATGGTTTCAAGAGTATATCTTGCACAGTGGGTACATACTTCCTCTTTGTATATGTGTGCATACATGTAAAGATCTTTATTGACCCATTATACTGTTAGGTGACAATGACATATACACACACACACACGTTTTATGAAAGAACTTACAAATGCAACATTTTCTCCTACATATAATAATTTATGCAAGGTTAGCCAAATAACCTATTTTATGTGAGGTTGTCATGTACCTATGAAACTGTTAGATTTCATGCTTTCTTTTTGCACTCTTCAACACTCCCTAAAGTACAAGCATAGCATCACATTCCTTGTAAGAAATGTGTACTTGTCGGTTTGCCCTTGTAAAGGTGACACATGAAAGCCTGAAAGATAGAAGAGCTCACTGGCTACAGCCACACTGCACCACTTCTCCTGGAGGAAAACATCAGAGATCAGGTGATTAACCAAACTAAATTCATAGTTATTCCTTCATCTACTGTAGATGAAAATCAGGTCAGGCTCACAGATTGCAAGACCTCTTTTCTCATTAGGTACTTGAACAAACAGTTGCTGCATATAAGTAAGGAATTAAAAGAATGCTATTTTATGCTTTAGATATTATACTGCCTCTGTTGAAAACAATCCCATGTGTGACAAACAAAGCTGGAATACTCTGTGACCCAAGTAGCAGTGAAAGCTCAAGCCTCCGAGCTGATGCTCAAGCTATCAAGGGATAACATCAACCAGTTTGTTGCCAGTCACGGTCCTTGTTTTAGCAAGTGATTACCAATAGCTGGCTTTGAAAAGAATCCGCCAGCAGACTTGATGAGGTTTCCCAGTCCACGTCTACAATATCCCAATGCTTTCTGAATTAACAGTACATCTAACATAACTGTTCCTACTGTGGCTTATCTTCCTAAGTTTCTAAGGAACACTCCCAAAGTTTCTGGATCAGATACCGGAGTACTATGAGATCTTGAGAATGGCCAGAGTCCAGGCAAACCAGTGGCTAGACAGATTAAAGAAATGATCTTGTCTTTCTCACATGTTGGTCATGTCTCAAGCACGGCTGTTTTAAAATCAAACTTCTTTGCTAACATACCAATTTCCTTTTATAAACACTCCACTACATCATGAGGTATTAAAGGGATTATATATTTCTTATAATATTTAAATAACGTTTCTCATCAAGAGCCTCAAATGGTTTAGTCATGTTTGGTCATATTTTTAAAAAAGAATTCTAGAGGGCAAATTCTAAGCAATTTCTTAATGTAAATATGTGCCTCTCATTTCAGAGATGAAACACCCCCTCGTCCTCAAACGACTAGATCATTGCACGCCATCCGTTTACAGATCAGTACTGTGCTATTAGTGCTTGTTGTTGTGCATGAACATAGTTTTTGAAGCAGCTATGTAATAGAGCCCAGCCTTGACTAGAGATTACAACACTCTGTAATGCATTTGCTTCAATCAGTAAAAGCAAAGGACTTGAATTTAACATTTATAACTTGTTTAAAGTTGTCTTAATTTTTGTAATATTATATTAAAGGGTTTATATCAATCACTATGTAATTGTCATGTTTAAGGCATAAAAAAGAGCCTTAACTCGGTTGTGGTGTGCCTCGTTATTTCATCCTATATTGACTAAGCTGTTCTTATACTTTATACATCTTACCCAAGTAACTATTTTTAAGGTATGTAGACATCCAATATTTTACAATTTGTTTCATTATAGTCATTTCTGGATATTAAGATTTAAAATATTCTTTATACAATTTTCAGATTTATTTACCATATTTATAGTTACATTACACACTGCTGATAAAGTAAAAGAAGCTATTCAAATAATTATGTTAACCAAAAATATATTAATTAAATTAACTTTCAATAATACAATATAAGTGTTAAAATGACATTTGACAAAATGAATATAAATTCCTTACACTTTACATTTTTTAGGAGATGATGAGATTCTCTGCATCAGTGAATTCCTACACACATAAAAAACTAAGAATCATTGTAAAACACCTGGGTTTGAAATTGAAAATAAAGATGTTTATTGTAAATTTGGTATTGTTTCAATTTAAGTACCCAATCTCAACTTCCTGGAATATTCAGTTACTTTAAACCAAAGAGATGGCGTGTTTTGATCCATTATTTAGACAATGTCAGCATCTATTTGCCTGAGAAGAGGGTTGAGTTTCATTTCTTTGAAAAAGCCTAAATCCAAGCAGTAACTGGTACATTTTTGTTGTTTCAATGCTTTAGTCATTCAAATTATGAGTCACTGAACCTTACTAGTAGAAAATTACCTTTGCATGTATTTAGACTTTTTTTTTCATTGTGCATTTGGTATAAATTCTTCAAAGGTAATTTAAGTGAAACTATATTTCCTTTGGATTTTTTTTAATCAGTCTTACATTGCTAAAGAGTACAATCAGAGACATTTTGAGGCTTCAGTACAGATTAAATCAAGAGGTTTAAAGCACAGAAGAAAAGAGAATGGGACACAGTTCAACATTATAAGCTCATTCCAAAAACACATTTTCCATAGCCCACAAATCTCTCAAACATTAAATCTCAATAAGGGACAATGCTCCTAAAATACAGACTCAAAAGGGTATTGGCTGGATATTGTTTAGAATGCTTTTCTCTAGTTTTGGGTGGAATAATACAGTTCATATCATTACTGACATTAAATATTTGACCTCAATTTTCATCCAAACCAAAAAAATAAGCAAGTAGGAAGTAAAACTAAAGAGAGTGGAAAGCTTGATGTATGATTCAGCACAAGTCCCATTAAACAAAAGAACCTCTATATGAGATGGTTCTACAATATCATAAATTAAATGAGCACAGCTCATTACGAAACATGCTTATAATTATGTGACCCCAGTGCACATGGTAAATAATAGCCTTTGCTCATGCTGTGTTAAATATTAAAAAAGTCACTGCTACTTTTTAAGCAGAGGATCTAAGCTTTCCATTTCATTTCCTTAGCTAATAAAAAATAAATAAATGAAACCCAAGACGGGAATTAAAGCAAAGGGCTCTTAGCATTTTTCATAACATTTCTTAATAATTTGTTAAGTCATGCAAAAAACTCATCATGAATGTTTTCTTTGGAAGTTAAAATATAGGGACACCTTTAAATCTTTCTGAAATACACAAAGAAGAGTTTAAATCATACAAAGAGATACAAATCAGTGAAGTATCTGAGAAAAAACCTTCTCAAAAAAGAAAATGCAACAGAATTTTTTTAAGGCCCTTTGTTGCATATGTTTCTTAAATACTGCCCTAATATTAGTAACCGTACAGTAACAATCTCTGTCCATTCTACCACAAAACATTGGGAATGTATTAGTATCTTTTCCCCTGTCAATCCTTATTATCTACAAAGCATATGATGTAGTTTGTGGTCTCCAAAATTATCATTTCAGAAACATCCTATGTTTACTATATAATACCATTTGAGTTTTAAGGCCTCTTGCCCTTTGTTCTCCCAACTACATGTCTCTTTACGGGTTTTCTTTGATATGGTGGCATTTGATCTGTGGCTGAAAAATGCATTAAGCTGAGTTCTGGGAAGAATATACCTGGCCTTTAAAATTTGGTCCTTCCTTTATTTCCCCCAAGGCCTCTTTTGTTTGCATAGTTATCAGTTTCCCCTGCATGTGTTGACTTGGGTGTACACTGCATGATGTTAATGTCTAGAACAGAATATTGGTCATTCCGAAAAAAATAATTTTGAATTGTTATATACTCTCACCTTTCTTAAGGGCATACAAAACTACTAAACCTTTCCTCCTACAACCTCCTCTTAAGTTTGATCTAAATTTTCATATGGCTCTTATATCAGTTTGTCTTTGTTCAGAAAGCTGCAGGTTGAGAGGGACTGACCCACCACTTGGGTTAAGCTGTTACGCTTCACACATTCACCATCGTACAGTACAAGTGCAGAGGGGAAACTCACGTGGGTTCAGGATCTTTACTGAAGAGTCCGGGTCCGGATGCTGTTTGTGCATGACCTGTGTACAGATCTGCTCTGTGAGGATCTGCAAGGAAAAATAAGAATGAAATCACAAAAAATAAATCACAATGCAATGCTGTTAAGCGAGACATTAAATCTTTTCATAAATAAGATTTGTTTATATTTTAACGTAGTGTTAAATAGTGCACTAAGACCAAGCATGAGACAACGATCAAAGGAATTTGTGAATTAAGAACTACACTGTAGATTCACTACTGTATGTTACAAGTAAGAAAATTAAAAAAACATTTTCCTCACTCGGCAAGTCTCAGGGTGAAAGGGTAACTCATTCACAGCGTGAAATTTCGTGGTCAGAAATTTAGACTCATTTATTAAAAAGCTGTGCAGGAAATGTACTGTATAAATTATTTACGCTGACACACTTCATTATAAGAATAATAAAAGGAAGAACAGGCTTTAAATGTATTTTGAAAAAAATCTAGAAAAATGTTTTAACATTTAAGAACAATTAGGAGAAAATTACAAAGAAAATACAGCATTACATATTTCTTGATGCACAGTATGGCTGGATGAGATCCTTGGATCAAATAGACTTGAGTGTTATAATGGCCCCCTCTAGTAACTTTTCTCTTGGTCTTATGGCTTACTTCAGCCAGAGCCACGAAGGCGGTCTTCACTGGACACGTTATATAATTCCAGATGCCCACAGATCTTATAAGGTATCATATAAGGACATATAATTCCCCTGATATTAAAACAATTCTTCTGTACACTGGAGACATCTATATCTTGTTGACTGGTTTATGTCAACTTGACATAATACTGGTAATACAAAAAAGTCTGAAAAATTCAATTTTTCATTTTTTCACCGGGGCTACGACAATTCCAGTACCATACAAGGTAAGATAACAGAAATATCTTCATACACTAGAAACGTTGACCACCTCAGACCGGTGTAACAAAAAAGCAAATGGAAAGATTAATTCTGCACAATCTGGCTAAACATCAAACAAACCAAGAAAAAGGACAAAGTAAGCAAAGAATGGAGCTGCATTACCTCAAAGAGAACATTGTACGTAGTCATGGTGAATAAGTTTGTTTGGAGCATCAGACGTTCTGAGAGGAGTGAAAATAGACCATGTCCCAGCATAATTTCTGCCTTTCTCCTCCAATGACAAAAATAACGAGGTTCAGTTATTTTCATTCTAACCTACTCAATGCAAGCAGCGTGATGTAAAGAGGGATTAAAGTCACTAAAGACCAAAAAACAATAACCTAACATGTTCTGTATTTTTTGTAACACCTTGGTTTTCATATTTATGGCATCTCTGTACTAATTTCAGTGTTTTCTATAACCAACTAACTTACTGTAAATGTAAGGATTTTCTACCAGTTAAGAGGCTTCTCAAAAAGACTTCAAAGAACCTCCCGTCTTCAAACACAAGTTTAAAAGTGACCCACAGAGAAAGTATCCTGTTCGTTCTCCCCTTTTCAGAAGCTGTTTTAATATAGTCCAATAACGTTCACCCCCAAAAAATAATATAAATAAATATAAATAAAATATGTGCTGCTCTTAGCAGATATTATGCTTCACTGTTAATATCTAGCTTTACAAGTACCATCAGAAAGTGTTTGCTTCTTCAGGCTCTGCCACTTGAGAAATATTGATCAAAGCTTGAAGATCAAAAAGAACTGAAAAAGATTATTTCAACCAGGTCCTGGACTGCACAGCAAATTAATACAGGCTATAAAGTGGGTTATTTGTTATTAAAGTAGAACAGCTTTCAAGAAGCAAAGCAGTCAACCTCTGTCTATATGGATGCTTTATTAAGTGATATAATTGCTTTTTCCACATTTATGGAACAGTAAATGACTTTGTACTCTTGTTAAGGAAGCTTAATCTAACAAATGCTGTCTCCTAGGTCTGTAGCTTAAATATATGATTGATAATTAACTGCATTTATAAAGTTTTTTTTTATCTCCAAGGGTCTAGAAGCACTGTACACATGAAGTGCACCAGCATCACCCACCTGGGTGGCACGTGCTACTTCTCTGTGCCAGGTGGAGAAGTGAGAAAATTACAGAAGTGGGTCAGAAGACAGTATAATTTAATTATAAATTACATATTATAATATATATACATAATTTAATTTTAATTCATTATAATATATTTTAATTATAATAAGTAATAATTTAACCAGGACAGGAGTTAACAAACATGCGTAAAACCTAATAGACAAACTTTGATTTCTCGAACTGTTCAGAACGGTTCGACATAAAAAATGATTTTTTTTTAACATCATTGAAAGCACAGCTTGACTGAATTACATGTGCAGTACTAAAGAAACAGAGCTGCAAATGTATGCTGGTTTAGTAATATGAAGGCAAGTTATTCCCGCTGCTTTAGTTACATAGTTTTAATTATTGGCAGCATTAGCCAAACATATCCTATGCTGACACAGTTCTGAAAACAGAATGTGAAACGTCTTATTATGGAAGAAGATTAGAATAACTACATGCTGAAAAGTAGAAAGAAGAAAAATACCTTATTAATTAATTGAGATTAATTATTTAAAATCTAAAAACACTGATATGAAGCATTTCGCTATTGGTCAATTTTACCAAAGTGCTAAAAAGGAATCCTAAAAAATAAACTATTAAGAATGAATACTCACTTAGGACCCAAATGCTTTAGAAAGTAGCCCGTGACTTTCAAAGCCTGTACTCGAATTCCTTCGCTTTTGGATGCAAGCAGTTTATAAATGACTCTACAGGGTATGAAACAAAAATAAATTTAGATGCAGTACAGAAAAATTACAAAAGGTGAAAAGTAATACGAAAAGATACCATAAGTAAGCTGATTTTCTTCTTGTTAATGTTTTTTTTAATGATACAAATCCTCTAACAAAGAACATTTTGACATTTATGGTAGAATACCTGTGTTTTTTAAGCCTTAATAGAAAGTGAGAATATTTTGTGTTACACTCAATAGATACATTTAAATGTTACTTCATTGTCTTACATAACAAATTATGAAACATTAAATTCTTGAAATCATCACAATGTTCTACAGTCCTCTGAGACACACTAGCCTTTAACAACACTGTCCTGAAAATTTGCTCACCTTTATTACACTTTTGCTCTCTGCAAAGCCTTCATTTTGATGCAAATATTAATATAGGAAAAAGGTTTCACAATTTTCAAGCACCATCTTTGACTTCCTTTGATTGATGCAAATTACATCAGAGAGGAAATTCCTGAAGTACAGCAGGAGCAGTGGCAGGTCATTCGAAAAATGTTACTTTATACTATTAACATAATCTTCATACCAAGGTTAGGACAGAAGACAAAACCAAGATTGTTGGATTTGGAGTAAAATGTGTAATTCTAACTCCTTGGCAACAAAACAAAGATAATGAGGCTTAGAATATTAGATCTGTTACAAAACAGTAAATAAATCATGAAGGAAGCCTAATTCAAATACTTCCCAGATTAAGCAGGCCTGGTCTGTGCAGCTGATGAAAATGAAGAATATTTACTGGCTCTCGTGAACCACTTTTATGGTCTTGGAAGAGTCAGTTTTACACAGCTGATATCAGTGTTTTAATATCAAGCCAGGCGCATTCATTACACGACGCTGTGACATAACAGGGCCTGGGTTCAGGAACCTCACCGTATTCCATTGCGCTGATCAAAGGCAGGGACCATGGAGCCAGGATGCTCTGCCATCAAGGCAACCAACAGCTGCAGCACATCCATTAAATTGTCATCCTGCAAAACAAACCCAAAAGAAACCCATTAGCATTATCACTGTCCTGATAAACACTCTGCTAATATGTGTTCAATTAGCACTTCCTTTACAATTCCATCATAACGTTGCATAGAGGCACACCAACTCTTGGATAAACAGGCATAATGTTGTTATTCAAGCATCAAGGACATAAATGAATAGCATCTGATGCACAGAAAGTACATCGCATTGGTAATTAAACTTGATTGATTAGTAGAAGGGCGGCACAGTGGCGCAGTGGTAGGCACTGCTGCCTCGCAGTGCTGGGGCCCTGGGTTCAGTTTTAGACCAGGAGTGCTATAAACGTGGAGTTAGCATGTTCTTTCACTGTTCACGTGTGTTTCCTCTGGATGCTCCTGTTTCAACAGTCCAAAGACATACTGGCAGGTTAACTGGCTTTTGTAAAACCGGGCCCGGTGTGTGTGTCTGTGTGTGCCCTGTGATGGACTGTTGTCCTGCCCAGGGTGTACCCTGCCTTGTGCCGGTTGCTTGCCAGGATAGGCTCCGGCTTCCTCCCTCACCCTGTTTGGTTAAAGCAGTTAGAAAATGGATGGATGGATGGATGATTAGTACACTCTTAACCTCACACAACCAAAGACTAATTACTATAAGCATACTTCTTCCTCTGTATACCTATTTTAGTTAATATCTAATTACTACAAATTAATAAATAATTAAAAATTTGTTTAAGAAGAGGCTGCTTCAGAACATAATAAAGAATTAAGATTGACTGCCATTAAACGTGAAAACACGAGTCCAGGGCCATCCCCGTCATCAACCACGTGAAAACAATACACATAACTGTTGTTTTTCTAATTGAATTATATCTAATTGCATATTTTTATTAAACAAAGTGTGAATATGATTAAAAACTATACATTAAAAACCCTACATCAATTGCAGAGCAAGGAAACAGACAATTGTGCAAACTAATTCAATGACAAGCTGATTGGTTCTATAAAATACTTACTTGAAATCATTGTGTCTTTTCTAGGAAGATATTTACCAAAATGCACTGATTCTTTGATTTTCCAAATGATTAATCAAGTTTATTCTACAATTAGACGACAAAGGGTTTTTGAACTGTAGTGACAGGAGGGCGGAGTGGTGGCTCTGTGGCTAAGGATCTGCGCCTGTGGCTGGAAGGTTGCCGGTTCAAATCCCGTGGTCGGCAGAGGAATCCTACTCCATTGGGCCCCTGAGCAAGTCCATAAACCCCAACTGCTCCAGGGGCGCTGTACAATGGCTGACCCTGCGCTCTAACCCCAAGCTTCTCTCCCTGTCTGTGCCTGTGTCTCATGGAGAGCAAGACAAATTCCTAACGCAAGAAATTGTAGATGGCCAATAAAGTGGTCTGTGTACGGTTAAAAACGATGGTAAGAGTGCCATCTAGTGGTAAGAGAGCTGTAGACAGGCTGGTGTGTGAAGGATTTCATTGTGCAGAAAAACTACAGACATACTGGAAAGGAGGCAGTTTAATTTCCCAATAGGAATTATATATAGAAAAGTGCAAATTCAGGTAATACTATTCACATGTAATTATGGACAAGAAGAGCTTAAACATAAATTGAGATTTTTTTTTACCATTTCAGAGATTAAGTCATACACTTCACTAATAAGACTTTAAAAGTTTTATTTAAGCTCTAATGGAGAGAAGAAATGTTGAAATGCTTCTCAAACTGGAAGAATGTTAATTCTTAATATGCTGTTTGAGTAAGATATACTGGAACCAGTAGGATTGCATTCCCACTACACAGATTTATAACAATTTAGTTGTAATTTATTTTTATTACCTCATGCATTGTAAGAAGGTAGTTGAGAATACTCTGGAGTTCATCTTCCTTCACTCCATAATCCTAACAGAGAAACATAAATAAAAACAGCTTCAGGAGGAGTAAGCAGTACCATCCACAGTAGTATACTCACATTAACAGAAAACAAGGACAAAATCAAGAATACCAGTCCAGCATGGGAGAGACTGCCACACTTTAACCCGAGACATTAGAAACCCCATAAAGCATTTTAATCGCAACTTGGACATAGCAAGGGAAAATATCTAATGTTTTGTGAAAACACTACAACTTGCCCACCAAAATATTCTTTCAAGGACACTTTGAATTTTCCTTTACATTGCCTTTTGAAAACAGTAACCCTGAGACTCCCATTTTCAAGGCCCCACGAAGCAGCTGCAGTTACTGGTCAAGTACAACTGAAGCTGTTTTTCCAGCCATCTTGAGAACATCTCGTCAAGAAGCCAGACTATGAAAGTGCTGAAATGATATCCCAGAGGCTAATGCGCAAGATAGAGCCTTGCACACTTCAAAATCATCACGTTGCAGGAGAATGACTGACTGATCCCTGCTTGCGTCTAACAAGAACAGCCAAGGGTGTCTGCAGAGATGTTAGCCAACAGCTATTCCCAGTTCTGGACTTTTCGGTGCAGTCCTGATGACCTGACCACATATTCCAGGTGAATACCAGAATCCACGCAGAGTAGCAGTCAGGCTGCTGTTGCAGGACTCAGTTTTATTTAGAACAATTTAATTTTTCTACAGAATGCACAGCACCACAGATTAAACAGTTTCTAAGATGAAAACACATACTTAACAGAGATGTAATTCCTTGTCTCCTGTCGCTCTTCATTTTGTTAAACAGTTTAGCAATCAGCTGAAGTCTATTTTCTTAATGCCCACAATTATACAGATTGTCCAAAATACATATTTAAGTCATCGGATATGAATTTTATTTGTTGTATACGTTAAGAATTAAGAGATATTTCTGAACTTATTCCACGCCTATGCTACAGAGAAAAGCAACTGCAAAGCTTGCAGTTTTGTTCTTGGTTTAGACAGAGCATTGAATTCTTTTTATGAAGCAGAAATGGATAAAGATGGGTCTCCATCAGCAAAAAGGACATAAGGGCTGCCTCAATTATCAGTAATCTAAAGGATGTTATTAGAAACACAGAAGGGGCTGCAGAGACATTTCAAGAAAAACAGGCTAAAAACATACAAAGCATTTAAAAGGAATCCCAGATTTCACAAGCGGCTTGACTTGTCCAAATGTTTTAAACTCACCTTCATTATTAACTGTTTGACAAACAACAACAGGAATGCTCGCAAAGAAAGGATCTCCTTCTGGCTGGGTCTCGGTCCATCTACACAGATAAAATTGAATCAGTAGGCCTGCCACAGTGAATATTTTTCATTTCAAACATGTTGCTATAAATCCATACATCAGGGCATTGGCAACAAATTGTTTATTTTATGCTGAAAGAGTAAATAACCTTTTATTATTAAGTATGAATATTTAACTGCGCAATCAACAAGTGACAACTTTTCTTTCAGGTTTAAGTTTAGAAAATTTTATTTTGGTTGTATTTTTAAGAGTAAAAACATGAACACAGAATTTAGAGCAAAATAAACATAATGGAGCTCAATAGTGTGAAACTTTGTGACACAAATGGGACTCTTCTGATCAAAGTATAAGCCACTTGTAGCCAGAGCCACATCGTCCACCAAAGTTTCACAGGCTAAAGACAGAAGATCTACTAGATATGCATCAGCTGTATCAGAAAGCCACAATGACTTTATTTGCAAAGCAATTCTGTAAAATCAATCAATAAGCTACAATTTGAAGCCTGTTCATCAGAGTCAAAAGGTATAGTCAGATTTTCTTAAGATATTGGTTATTTTCAGAAACATGACAACACCGGAAATCTCATAAATACAGTATATATTTCATTCTTTTGCGGGTGGCTGTCCTATGATAGAATTATAATTTACACATTTCCAGTTGGTGAGGTGGGGAGTCTTAAATCTAAGTGTAAATTAATGATTCACAAAAAGAACCTGACACTGTTATGTGCCATGGAAAGGACATTAAGAGCAGTAACCAAAAACAGATGCACATTTACCCAAGCCTTTAGGTGTGACTCCACTGCGGTCTTGTGGATTCACAACCCAGTAGTAGTACTTCAGAGTATGCATAATCTGCAGGACGGTCCCGACTCTGCGGATTGCGTTGTAGATGGTGACAGTGCTGATGAACTCAGTGGAGAGATAGGTGTACAGTGTCAGCTGCACCTGTACATACCAAACAAGGAGGGAGGAAAAAAGGTTGCAGATGTCACAGATCTAAACATCCATTCAAACCTCAGTATTCTTGACGATCAAGTATCTTGAAGCTCCCGTGAATGAATTTGAAAACCTCAACTGACCTTAATTCCTTATGGAGAAAATAGCATATAGTTCTGTGACTCACAAAACAAGCATTTTTCTGCTTGTTAGTATTAGTCATTATCGGTAGTAAGTAGTAATTATTGGTATTTATAATGAAAATGAGTACTGGAATCTTTAAAAGCCATTGTTTCCCCCCTATAATTTGAGAAATGTGCAACATATTAAATCCCTTATATTATAAATTACCTTGTATTAGAGCTAATTTTTTGCAATCTTCATATGTTTTACATCTTACCTTACTAGAATAATTGCAGTGCTAATATACTGTAATAAAGTTTATTACATCACAGTAATAACTGAGTAGAAAGTAAATTACTTAAGTGTACTCGCACCCTTCCCACTCAACCTATTCTACTACTCCCTACGATTTGTATATTTTCTTTTATCATTTTCTGTGAGACACACAAGAACTATGACTGTGATAACTTAGGAGACCACAGAGGTTTTTTTATTTGTTAATGTTTGTTTCACAGCACAGCGAGTCACATAACAGGTACCAGGTATGACTAAATAACAAATAACTAAAGCACAATCCATGATGCACTGGTACCTAAACCTAAACACAACTAGCAAGCAAATCACGCAAGACAGAGCAGTAGCTTATAAAAACGAACCATGCAAATATACCAGGAGTTATGAATGTGCAAACCTTTTAAAAAAAATTTAGGTGATTCCATATAATTAAAGTATTTAGCATAAGTGGTCTCTAATTTGACGTGACAAATTCCTGTACTTGTAAATAAAATTGTTGGTTGGAAACATCTGTACTAAACAAGAAAAAACTGAGCAAGGTGTTTGTTTTGGAATATTTACATATGAAAAAAAAGATATTGTACATTTAATCAAGATAACCTAAATTTTCTTTTTGAAAACTATCATGTATAGGCTGATGTATAAAATCAAATTTTAGTGCAGTAACTGTACCTTAGCAGGAGCATGTATCCAGATAGCAGGGTTGAACAGGATGTGATCACATAGCTGTTTTAGCAAGAGGACACCATTCTGTAAGTTACTCAAGTACCTGGCAAAGGCCAAGAATAACTCCAGCACAGGTCGGGTGGCATGAGCTTTGGAAGCCTGTAAAAAAAAACAGAACAGAAAAGAGGACTGATGGCAGATAAAACAAGACAGAAATGAATTTCCCAGTATTTGACATACAAATTCCACAATAGAATCTATATTCTGTGGGTTATTATTAAGTAGCGCAGACTAACTCCTGACATAATGATCATTCTTATTCTTATTTAGAATAACTATACAGCTGTCTCTAAAACTAGTACAATACCTAGATCTCTACTTGAAAGGAGTCAGGTTTGCAGCTAGAAAAAATAATCAAGAAACTCTTCACATTTGCAATAATGAGCGAAAACAGCACTTTACTAGTACAGACATTTTTAGGAACTCCTTTTAATCCATCCTCTGCTTTTTATAATAACCTCTTTGGCTGCAGACTTACAAATTCGTCAACTACTAATGATAAAACTCTCAAAGACTTTGAGATCCCAAAATTCCACTAATACATTTCTCAATACAATAATTAAAAATATTTTGTGCTAAAAGAAACACATATAATGAATGCTGTATGGGCCTGCAAAAAATTACTGTTGAAAAAACCTCCCCTGAAGATAGGTTCCTACAGATTTATATGACGAACCAATTAAATGTATAGCCAAATGAACAATATTCATAGTAAATGTGTAATCAGCCTTAAATGAATGGAAATATTGTATGTTTGAGGTTAGCTGGTGATTAACAAAATTAATCCAGATATTAATCTATTATTCTCTGTATTTTCAAAACAATAGACATTGTCTTAAGTGCAGTTGTTTATGTCATTGAGTCAGGAATGAGGACAAAGAAACAAATGATCAAAAGTATGGTACTAATTGTTAACTCAGGCTAAACTAATTCTCTGTTTTAATCTTTGCATTACCCTCTTAGTACATAAATATTTAGTGACCAAACTATTCTGGGCGAGGTCATCGAGCCAGGAAATGCCAGAATAAATAGGATGCAACACAGAGAAACCAAGCAAAAGGAAAGGGAAGTGTCACGGAGAGGGAGACTGAAAGAAAGGATCTGGAGTGTGAGAAAGGAATCTCTCTGCACAGGCTATGAAAACAGATCCCGAACCTCTCCAGGTAACCTGAGCACTGAAAGAGTATTGGACTTCAAATTTTAGTTGCAAGGAACGTCTTGACCAATGCATTTGTGGAAATATTTAAATCAAAACTGTTGAAATCATCAGGCCAGAAGAAATCTCTCCTTGTATAGTGATGCTCTAATCTTGAAATCATGAAAGAGGTTCCCATTTGGTGACTATCCATTTTACTGTGGTTTAGTCTTTATATTAGATCTTGTTTATTAGGACACAGGTTCCGTCCTTGCTTTTATGGAGCTTAAACTTCAATTACAGGAAGAACTCTAAAAATGCGCCGCCTACAAAAAACAGAACCTGATACAAATATTTGTTCCATTTAAGCTTGCCGCATATTACTGTATTATCAAGATGTGCAGGAAGAAGAAACCATGTGCAGTGATCCATAATGGGGTGAAACTGCTATTAACATTTAGGCTTGCATAGTGGGCTGGGACAGAAACTGATTTTGATTTGATAACCATTTTAAAATTGTATCAGCCTCTCTATTTATTTTTTACACAAAACAAATCTGTAAAAGTGTATGTGCAAGGCTTTGTACATTTTCAGGATTACACACTACAGTATATGTATTGAGGCCCTGCGTCAAAGCTGAGCACCAATGCTGTTTCACAGTGGGTCATTCCAGAAGACAGAAGGCAGCCCTGCAGCAGGCATTGTGACATTTTGGACAGGCAGCTTACAGGTTTTCCTACATAAAGGAACTCTTAACAGCAAGATCCACTGACATCACCTGAAGTCACTCCTGGGGGGTGGTGATCAACCAAGTAAAACTGATCGGCACATGTGCCATCGCTGGAATTGAGTGAGCCCCCACCTACTCAGGCTGGAGAAGCGCACAGATACACCAGCACCTGACACCATACAGCAGGTGAAAAACAAATATAATTTTGGAAGGACTGAAGAGGAAAAAGAAACTGGGTAATTTCCCAACTGTAATTTGTAAATGAGATGCCTACATGAAGCAGGTTAGGTTATTCTGAGGTGTTACTAATTCAGTAAAAGTAATTATGGTTAGACTGCCTCAATGAATTACCTTATAAAAAAAACCAAAGGTAAGTCTGTACAAAAAAAGCATGTGCACATCCTAAATTAGAGAATATAATCAAATAACAATTTTTCAAAATTCTGAGATTTTAAGAAAAGATATCGACAGAAACCAGTAAAGCAATTTGTGACCCAAAACAAATGACAACTGTTTAAAAACTGATACAGGCTGAAAAACAGTGGAGACAGATGTATCATGTGTAGTTTCATCAGTTTCAATCAATATTATTGAAGATCCACTTAGTGGATTTACTTTTGCATAATAGCATATAGGCAGCTTTCAGTTGCTCTTTACAGACAATTTAGGACCATATCCCTTCATGTTTACTGCTTAACAAAAAATATAACTACTGTATTTTAAACATTAATATACAAGTTAAATTTACTTTTATATATATATATTGCCATCTTGCTATCAGACAGTGGCTCCAATTTGGGCCACAAACCATTTCCCAAAACAGGTTCACTGCTTAAGTCATAGTATGACCACAAGGTCTTTTGACTGTCATGAAAACCCATTACCATAAGACAGGACAACCTAATCATAGTGTGAAAATACACCCTTAGTAGACATGAGGCCTCCAAAAGGACAGAAAATGAGTAACACCATAATAAGATGGAAAATATACTAACACTGTACTAAAGATCACTCAGTGTAGAAGCAACCAGAATAATCTGAGTTTATCCTCTCTGAGCATATTCACTAGGAATGTATCACACCTGACCTCTTCATTCTGGACAAATGTATGAGGGCTATGGAAATGGAAATGTTTTTTGTGTTTTACTTTGCTTTCATTTTGATAGTCAACATGTCTGTCATGATGAGCATGTAGTGCAATCACTGTACTATAAGATCCATCTCAGGCAGAAGCTTAAGAAATAAGTATTGACTTGATAATGATAAGCATTAATATGAGGAGGCTCCCTGCACTAGAGCTGTATGAAAATTCTACAAAGACTAAAGACTAAACAATAGGAATCCAAGACCACATATATATATATCCTCTATACATAAAAGATTCTCAGTATGGAGGTCTATCAAATATTATGACTGACTTTTTTTTTTAAACATTAGATTGGAAGCTATAAATGACATGGTGTCTACATACAGGACATAAATGTCAAGAATTGCATAATTATATCTGTGGCTTTAAAAATTAACTGCAATTTAAACTGTAGTAAACTTTCCTTTCTCCGTCATTTCTTTTGAAGTACTACGGTATATGCCAACTGCTGACCGAAAATGGATGAAGAACAGAAAACAACCATATCTGGCATCCAGCTTACAGAAGCAAAATTTCATCACAAAGACAGGCTCTCCTATTTCAACTTTGTTGTTTTTTTTGTACATAGGAAATGAGGGTGATCTGTAATTTTGGATTTACAGCTATTCAACAGCATGTTTATGTAGTGGCCTTTGCCGTTACTGCACTCTATTTAAGACAACACGTCGATCTTGCCTTCAGACAGTCCTTAATGAGAACAAAGTGACTCTGTTTTTGGACTGCAGAATATTTTATTAACAGTTACTAAGGAATGTGTTTATAATGCTTTGGCCTACAACAATGTTTACATTTAGAGCAAATACAGTTAAATAGTGTTGCAGTGAAGCTTTTAGGATCTTGCACAGGCAGTTATTTGAGTTCTTGTAAGAAACATTTCTTTTTCAAATAGGAACAGTGTTTTATAAACAGCCTTATCATGGGTGTGTTGTCACTTTTACTGCACCTTAACATTGGTTTAATTGTTAAAATGTTTTTAGAATTTTTTTTACCCGCTTACTTTGCAAAAACTTCGACAAAGTACCAGTCTGGCAAAGACAGGCATGATTTCAAGAACCCGCATTCCTTCTCTCTTTTCAAAATAAGCAGACAGGAAACAAGTAGTGATCATTTTTATATACGTGTCAGTTTGTTTCTCCACCTGAAGCCAGTTTCAGTTCTAAAGACTTTCTGAACACATTTTGACAGTTTTCTATTGTTAAATCACATCATTCTTACTCAACCAAAGTTATATGGAAATTAAGACTTTTTAGGTGAAAACAGTGGTTCATTACAGGATACTGGTTCAATGTTGTGCTATCTTGGGAGTCTGGTGCAAGAGTTTGGAAACACTGCTTTAGTCTTTCTTCTTTGAAGCAGTTAACAAGAACATCAGTGGTGTAAATGGCTGAGGTGTTCTTTACCTTCTCCAAACTGTACCCAATTACTAGAAATCCCTTGGAGGCAAGGACTTGTTCTTGCATGGCCACAGAGTTCTTCAGCAGCTCCATGACAAATGACAGCAGAGTGCAGCTAGGTAAAGAGAATAAAGAGAAGCCAATCAATGAATTTGAAACTCAGCTCTGTGGAAGAATGAAAATTGACTACTTAGCCAGTGCTATGCTAGACTAGCGCATCATGGTCTATGGCAGATGTGGAACAAATTGTGTTGGTGTTAAACTAGACTGTCACTTTGATTCCGTCTGTGGAGAGACCTGGTTTTCGTTTCTAAAAACAGAATTTTGAAGAATAAATCTGCAGAGCAGTTCTCCTCCCAAGATGTGGGTAACCTACTTTGAAATGAATGAGATAGACCTCTATCTTACTCAGAGAACTGAATTCCAAAACCTGCCATGTCCATACTGAACCAGTAGAAAAAAAAGGAATTTGCATTTTGATTCAAGATTACAACGTGCAAAGGAAATATGGTTTTTGGTTTTCTGTATTTTTAGCCGTTTCCAGTAGCTGATCTGCCAAAATACCAGTAAGAATTCAAATAATCTAAAGAAATTAGTCCATGTCAATTATAAAAAGAATGTTCAAATGCATAAACTGGTTTTATCAACAGGTACCGGCATTGAACAATTAAAATCTTATGAGGAAAGCTGAGCCTTACTTTTATATTGGAAGTACAACTTTCCAAAAAAAACATGCATTGATTTGATGAGGCAGTACAAGGAAGGAGGAGAGTCATTGACATGTTGGTGTGTAAGCATTAAACTGGGCTGTTACCAGACTGTGGTGTCCACTTCCTCGCTACCGTGCTGGAGGTAGTCGAGCTGTGCAAACAGAGGGAAAAGAACCTGCACTCCTCCAATGGAATGGATCGCACTCTGAACTGAATGTGTGACCACTGCTTTGACATCCTGTTGACAAAACACATCAGATCAGAAATACCCTCCAAGGCAAAACACCACCCCCAATTCCCGAGTATTAAAACGGAATAAGGATCATGAGGTTTTGATGGTAACAATGAATAGATTCTTGGTTCTTTACAAAATGGGACACAGAAAACTAGGAGACTTTTGTGAATTGAAGCACACCGTATAAAAAACATGTACATCAGAAAAGTGAAGTCATTTGCACTTGCTATTGTTTTTAATTACATGCACCTTCTGAATCATCCTCCTTCCATCCTCATCCTGTCGTTAACATTCTGCTGCAACATGACAGCATCTCCGTCAGAGGATTCAGATCCGCCAAAGCATAAATGTTTACAGAAACCCAATAATGATTTCATTTCAATAAGGATTCCATCTGAGTTCAAGCAGCACACAAAGAAGACTTTACCTGCAGCATAAGGGCATGAGGCGAATGCACAAAAATTGAGGGGTTGTCCTTGGGGGAAGACTCCAGGCAAAGTTGGGCATCTGTAGCTCTGGGGTTGTACATGAATGCAATGGTACTGGACAGCTTCCCCTCGTAGAGCAACATCTTATGGTGCTCAGCAAACAGAAGGTCACTCTCTGCCTTGTACTTGAAAGTGCCCTGGAAAAATAAACCAAGGAAAAGTCAATGATTAAGCTTTCAGCTAGAGGTGACTACCTTCACAAAATGGTAGATTGTTTTTTTTTTTAATATCAGTACTTTCAGGGATTAAATCAAAAGTTAACTTTGACAAAAATAAGAATATAAACATGTACACTATTTAATATTTAGTATTTTTTAGAAAATGTACAACATTTTTGTAGATCTGATATCAAATGTATTTTGTATGTGTGACAGTAGAACAATGTAGTTCAGGTGGGTAGCTGCACCAGCATGCGTAGGCTGCAAAGGAACAAGTAATAGGTTTATTCCACGCTGAAAAAAGAAGAAAGAAAACACGTTCTGTTCATTACAGGTAATGTAGCGGGAGAACAAAGGCTGAGAGAGAGGAGGAGCGAGAAGTGGGAACAGGGGACAAAAAGAGAGGCCAATCGAGAGGTGTGAAGTCAGGAAAGGTGAAGAGAAGTGTGAAATGAAACCTACAATGAATAGAGAGAATTTAGAAGAAAAGTAGTCTTCCATTAAGAGAAGGGGGAAGGTGTGATCTTAGCTGCAGGATAATTTTGGTTTCTGTAGTCTTTCTGATGTATGAGTTTGGAAAACCGTCTTTGAGTACACAGACGGAGAGATTAGAGGTGAAATGAGAGACAATGGGCTTGGAGAGATCTTTAATCTTCACAGCCCTAACATGCTCTCTGAAGCGGTACTAGCAGGTGATACAGCGAGCTCTGTTGCAAGGGAAAGTGCCTTGTGTGGATGGTTGCTGAGGGCGGTCAAGGGAGCTGTGAACAAGAAGGTTACGCAGATTAGATGATGGGGCGGCCAGAAAAGAGGGCCCCAATGGAGGGATCATGCTGTAGGATGGAAAAATTGTCCTTAATAGTCCTGGGGATAGGAACTGTGTTGGGGTGGTAGGGAAGCACCAAAGGAATGAGGTTGTTACAGCGGGAGTTCCCGATTGAGTTGATGTTCGAGGGGTGTTTTTGGCTCGGGCAGGGGCCCTGTCAATAACACTGCTGGGATATCCTCTGTTGATGAAAAAGGAGTACATTTTGAGGGCTTGGTTCTGGTAGAACAATGTGATAAAAATGTGTTTTATCACTACTTCTCAGAGTAGAGGAAAACTCCCTAATAAGATACATAGACACTCCTAAGCTCTAAAGAACCTGACCAGCTGCTGTCTACCATAAAACAGAATATTATCCAGGACCATATAAGAAATATTTGATGTAAGCAAAACTAAGCAACCATAAAGGTTAAAGCCTGGTAATCCTCCCTGCAGAAGTTTTTGAAAGTGTTTGAATTTTGATTTGATTACTGCATCAATATATTGAATTAAAATCAGATGAGTTCCAAAGACTGTCTTTTTGAAGTGAATAGAACACAATCACACCTCAAAATTGGAAACTAAAAATGAAAATGATATCATTTGGAGACACATCAGAGAAATAATTGCCCAATAACAAAAAGACTAAAAGTTAAAGAACACATCTGTATGCATCCATTGACCAGTATCGTGTTACTTAATACTTAAAGCGTGTGAATGAAAATGCATCCTGAATCACCACTCTTTTGCATTATATTCCAATTTCCAACTGTCTGTTCTATGTAGGTCCTAATAGTTGGCTAGATATCGAAACCTTTCTACAAACATAACCTTGTATCCTGGACCCAGCTGATAAATAGCAAGTATCTGGGCTGCGCTGAGGGCTTCGCTGAAGAGGTAGACTGCTCCCATCTGACCACAGAATACTCGGTTAGCATCAGCAGTCTCCGACGACCCCAGGAAACACTTGTCAAACGTCTAGGAACAAAACAGTGGGAAAAGAAACTTGAGAAACATGAGGAGAACATTCCTGATAAGAAAAAATTTTTACCCAAGCAAAACCCAGAACTTAAGTTAGGTTACAAATGGGCAATTCAGCCCATCTACAAATTTGGGAAACTAAGTGCTGAAGCCCGATTGTGTTAACACACTTCAGGAAGACCACGAACAGCACCAGCTACAGCATGAATAAATTTCTTTAACATGGGCTTGGCTTATTTTAAAGTAAGACATACTGCATTTCCATACACTGAGCAAGATTAAAAGAACTTTCAGAATGGAGGACCGCAATAGCTTGAATAGCTTGTGCCTCATTCTAGTTTGCCAATTCACAGTGCCTTTGTTTTCAAAGAAACTAACAACGTGATCCAAGAAATCAGTACAACTGGCAATCTGCCCGAGTTCTTCAAAACTGAAATATTCAAGCCTAATTAAAATCCTCGGTTTGCTGTCATTACAGCATTTCTTACCTAATCAAAAATGAACAATGAATCTTGTAAAAAGGTTAACAAGTTAATAAACCCAGAACATATTCTGAATAACATCAGAATAGATAGTTAATTCAATGACAGGCTATTTTCTTAACAAAAGTAAACACTTAGATTGACCATGTGAAGAACCAATCAAACCACAATTTCTTTATCAAATGACAATTTGACAAACAACTCCCAAAATATTTTTGTAAATCGAGCAATCAAAATCTTACTCCTACTTCAGATACACGCCAAAAGGAAAAGAACACTATGAGTGCTTTACTGAAACTGTTAACACTGTCATGTATCTTCTCGTTACATCCAGAGGACTATAAAGACGTTAAATGAAGTCCATGTTAAAAAAAAACATTATTTTTCTTTAGATTGACTTCCACATTTGACAACATATGTTGGTGATTAAGTGGAATTTTTGCAGCACAGAACATAGACTTTAATTGTAACACTGTTACTTACATCACTAGTATTAACCAGCCATGTTATGTCCCCATATGATGCAAGTTCACCATTTACGTAGCAGCTGATTTCACTGTTTTTCCAGCGATTGTAGATGTGCACTATTGTCACCATGTACCACTGAAACACAAAATGCTTATGTTATTGAAACAAAAAATATGGACTATACTCAACTTGTGAAAACATGTATTCAAAAGAATTGTTACACATCATGAAAAAATAAGACTAACATTATTGGTGCTATTTTTACACTGTTTGAAATTATGTTCCTCTGTCTATAATAAACTTACTTAAAGCAATGCATGTCAGAACCCATTACATATCACTGATCTGTCAGTCATGACAGGCAAATAAATACTACTGTACACTAAAGCAGAGTCGGTTCAAAAGGACAAAAGACCACGACAAGAGTAAGACGAAGATGAATCAGAAATGACGGTTTTAAACAGAGACAGAGACTAGCATTAGGGGTGTTGCGTTTTAATTGCATTAGGGAATACACCCAGTAGCCACTCCCACAACTCCGTCTCAGGCTGATTGAAACTGGTGTGAAATCAAGCATGCAGAGTCTATTATTTTTTCCACAGCACCAAAAGCATTTTTTCAGGTCCACTTCCCATTGTCTCCACACTGCTGCACTCGAGGGAAAATTACAATTAAATTAAAAAATTGTGGCCCGAAAATTCACATCCACATTTGCATACACACTTACACCAGACACTGCAGAAGCATTAATTTCTTTTGTTGGGCTCCTAATTTATAACTCTGAATGACCTAATTTATAACTCTGAATGAAAACATGAAAGGAGTGCTTATAAATGTCACACAACATGATGAGGTCTGGGGGGTGATTTCCTGGAAAACAATGGAGATACAAGTTGTCTTCATAACCTGCGCCTCTTTGAAAGCAAAGAGTTGCATTGGGTACCTTCAGATGTACCTTCTAACGCTCCCTCAGTTCTTCCCATCTCCACTTTTGCAATGATTAATGAGATTCTCCACAAAAATTTTTTTTTGGAGTCTAACTGAGAGGAATTCAGTCTAATTTAAAGAGGAATAAAACTGTACCCCTACCTTTTGTGGTTTGAAATCGTACTTCACACAGTGCTGGAATCCTTTCCCTTTGGATTTTAATGAAGTCACGATCAAGCAGCCGCCAACAAAATGCGCAGAGTATCCCAGTCCTTTACTAGTGCGAAAACTACAAGAAAACCACATCTTAACTCAAAGGGTGTTTGAAAAAAAAGTTGAAGCAATATTAGAAAGAGCGAGCGGTGGAAACATGGGGGATATTTTTAAATGAAAATACTAAAAAATACCCACTTTAAACGCTGTTAGAAATTAATACATTTAGCTATCTACTGCAGATCTCTCCTGTATTAAAAGGTCACAGTGGAGGAGTGAAATTTTATTTCAAAATTGAACTGCGTGATTAGAGGTCTTATAAAGCACACAAAGCACAATCTTCTTAAATTTGATTTTCAGAAGAATTAACTAAATGTTGAAAATAGGGCAGAAAGGAAAATCATTAATTGAATGTATCTTAAAGTGCCTTGACAAACATTACACCACCATTAATCAACGAACTCTGCGTATGGCTGTACGCCTCACTGAACTCCACACTTCATTTAGTACAGAAAGCATATTAGTTGCACAAAAGCAAAGTATGTGCTCTCGTGCCTAACAAGTTGTAATGCAACCTTAAACGCACCCTCAGGGAAGAGGACAATTCAAGCAAACAATCCATATTTTTCTCTGAAAGTAACAGGCCCAATGTGCCACAGAAGAGAGTGACATCACCTTCAGTCCAATTCCTAAGGAAGCGTTGAACCACAGTGAGATCATGAATAACTACAGTACACACTGCATCTTGTATCCTGGGGCCAAAGTAATGGAAATCAGCAGGAGGGTGAGAGAGCATTGCTGTGAAGAGTCTGAAAATGCAGTGACTTTCACCAGCCTTAGAGAAAACGACGGATGCTGTGCTTATAGAGAAAGTTCAAAACATTTTCTGCGAAAATGTCAAAACCGTTACATTTTCAAGCGAGCAACCTTCCATGGCGCTGCCTTGGCTGGCTTGCCGGTGAGCTGTGCTGCCGTCACTCACCAGTATAAGTAAGGTTTGTCCTTGTCGATGTTGATGTTGTTGATGGGATCCATGCGCAGCCAGGTGTGGAAGGTGAAGCCATTCTGGTAAGGCCACTTGGCAATAGGGGGCAGAGCTATAGCCTGCAAGGAACAGGAAGTGCTTTTAAAGCCAAAGACTTTGCAACAGGCTGGCAGCATCATTCTGAAATTAGAAGAGACTCCCCCAACCATTTTCCTTCTTTCGTGAGCGAACTCAGTTATGGACAATCATTGCATTCAATTTAAGAGTCAGACGAAAAGGAGGTAACAAAGCTGGTTTTACACATTTGACCAAACAATTACTAGCCTAGACAAATCATCACATGGGAAGACACTAAAAAGATCTGGTCTGGGACACGCTAATCTTGCCTAATGGCTTGTGTCCAGCCCCCGTGATAAATGCACAAACATGTTTTTTCAGCTTTATGAATTTAGTCAGCATTTATACAACAAGATGAGCATACAGAATGTACTACTGAAATAGTTAAAGTATTCAGACCAAGGTAGAAAGGGGCATGTTTAAAGTGCTCAAATAAAGAGTCCTGACAGGAATCTGATAAAGGATATATGGAAATGCTCAGAGCCAGAGAAAAATAAGAGGAATTTAGACTTGTCGAATATTGTAAAAGCCACTGAGCAGGGAGAAAAGTAATGCAACCGGACTGCAGGCATATACTGGAAACATGACTGAATTAATGCATACAGGCAAGAAAAAGTAGAAAAATAACATTCCTTTTTTAAAACTACTTTATGTATACATATATTCAAGATGTTTTTAACTCCTAAACTGAATGTTCCATACTGCACTTAATAAAAGATAAAACTGTTAATATGGTAATATGTTAATAAAAGATCATGTCAGTAATCTTTGCTCAGCATTCATAATTATTTTTTTGGATACAAATATCTAAAATGTTCCGTGAAAAGCCAAAGTTAATGTCGGCTGAACTCTTAGCCTTACTCAACATATACCCATCTTGTCATCAACATTAACCTTACATTGTAGTATAAAGTATAAAAGCGTTGCAGTGGATATTACTTTCCTTTCCTTAAATAATTAATTTGTGCCCATCAATATTAGACACCATGTTAAAATATGTTTTTTAAAAGCTCTAAACTTACTGGAATCATGGAACACGAGTTTTACTGGAATCATGGAACATGAGTTTTACTGTCTCCTAACTGATCTGCATTTATTCACGAGTCCAGATTCAGCCTTATGACACTGCCTATTCATAAGCCCCACTGGAGCAGCTCCCCAGCTTGTCAGAGACATGTTTCCGGCACTTTGCTAGTGTCAGTTCTGCAAAGCAAACATAAAAAGGAACACAGCCTGACAAATTTAAGAGGCTGCCCTGCTGTGCAGAGATACAAACTGAGTTAACGATGTTTTCCAGAACTGCATTACAGACTGCAGGATATCTACAGTACTCCCCTTGCTTAACAAGAGATGAAGATCACCATGGTAATGAGGATTCATATCTCAAACTCAAGCTGTTCAAGACAGAGGTGGCAGCACTTTGGCTCTGGACAGAAACACCTGGTACAGCCATTATCGGTCACACAACTAATAACCAGCGTTCCCGCAGCTCAATGAAATATTTTTTAATAGAATAATTATTTATGAGGGTCGTTTTTTTTCTATGGTCTCAAAATAATATCTGTGCATTATAGAATGAAAACAAAACTTTCAATTCACTTTCTGCTGCGTTGTTATTTTTTATCTATTTCCCCCAATTCCATCTGGGATCATCTCCACACAGGAGGTGGAAAAAATTGTATTAGCTGAACAGATCTTAACAACAGCATAAACAAACCAACTTACTATACATTTGTAGTTACACATTTACTGCCCTAACAGCTAGAGCTGTTATGAAAATACTGAGTCCTTCACTTACTGATGGGCTCCTTAATTTTCCAAACAATTCTGTGATATTGTACAAATAGAAATCGCACAATGTAAGTACAAAATATTTAACAGCTGTCATTTTTATTATGGTAATCCTTCCTTGTTACCTATATTCTGATGTTCTGTTCAGACTAAAAAGTTGCTGTGTTATTGTATTACACCATGATCCATGAATAAAAATTACTAAAAAAAATTAAAAGATCTAAAAGTGATGCTCTGGCAACAAAGTTATTAGACCTTTTTTTCAACCATTTAAGATCAAGTCACTCATTCTGCTAGAGGGCAAATTCTTATTAGATACAGTACGTTCTCTCATGTTTTCGGTTTCAAAGATATTTCCCAGTAAATACATTAATATAGGGAATATGGGGAAGTTATCATTACTTCCAGCAGTTTCTCTATTTATCACTGGAAATCTATGTAAAAATATTAAAAAGTTGAGTTTTGGAAACGAAAACGGGGGGGATGGCTAAAGCTCATCAGCTAGCTTCCTTTCCCAGATGTTCACAGACTATACACAAAAGAATGTTTACAGGAGCACAGCAACATGGCTTCTTTTTATTTCATGTGGACCTGTTTCCAGTATGTCTTTCTGGACATTGGAGCAACATTTTATTTTCCCAATTGCAAGAAAATAAATGACCACTGGCTTAAAAAACTACCTACACCTTGATTAACAATAATACCTTCAAAGCTTGATAGAAATCTCCAGCAACAAAAACGCTGTTAATAAGAGGTTTTTCCTATATACAGTATGAAAATGCTGGGAGAATTCTGGTCAAAATCCTTATCTCCAGCGGACTCCATGTTAATTCGGTCAGCCATGCCTGCCCTCACATCCCTGTTACGCTCTGTCACAGTAGAAGTGACTTAAGACAAAAGAACTGCAGTTGCCATCGATTCTTGATTAAAATTACTCACTTGTCCGGTAAAACCAAAAACAGACCTAAGATGTTTAACTGTATTTAGACAAGTGCCAATTAAATTGATGCCATGGAAATTTCTTTTTGCAAACATTTCTTTCGTTATTTCGCCTGAAATATTCTGCATGGCTAAAGCTGAAAAATACATTTGCTAAAAAAAAAATATGACACTACAGGCTATATTAGGGAGCCTAAAACATTAAAAAACCTTCCGCTTGCAAGAGGTGAGGTGACTGCATGAATACAACTCTGGTTTTCAATTGTGCCTCACCGCTGCAGGTGGAGCACTCTGTTTGAATAATTTTCCAAGGAGAGTCAAGTCATTGAAACAAATCAGAAAGAGCAACAGCTTTAAAAAAAGTGACCATAACAACAAAACCAGAAATTCGCTAGAGGCATGTTCAGGATGAAAGTAAGGCAGCACTTCTTTCCGGGAATATTGGATATCCGGCATAGGGGACTGTCAGTCACTGGGATCTTCTAAGACCCAACTAAAGAAAGAACGTTTTAATATAGAGCAACCCAAAGGTACTGGATAAATATCTACTGGCCTAATCACCTAGGGGATCGAGATATAGTACTGTCTTGATGTATTTTCTAAACACAAACTCACCGCCGCACTCTTCCCAGGAAAGCTGAAGAAGGAGTCAGGACCATTTTTATGTGGCATATACTTTAAAACTGACAGCAACTTCACAGCATGCGGAGGCTGAAAGAGAAAAGATACACAGAAGACACATGTGAACAGAGTGAGATAGAGGCTTAAAAAAGTAACATATACCTCTTGGGTGCTGTTTTGACAAAGTAGACCATATTGTAATCCACTAATCAAGCCCGTGTAAGCATAACTTCACTTTAATTTTCTGTCAGGCCCCTCTCCCCCAGGAGATGGCGAAAATATCTGACAGCAATATGTTCATACATTTAAACTCCCAGCAGTTCTTCATTAGTTAGGAGTTTCAAATATTGAAGACACAAAATCTTTAAATTATGATCAGTATTCATTATTTTAAAGACACTGATACAATTATACTTGAAGTCACAGCAATTTACATAAGGTAGATAAATTCAAGTTTGTTTTTATTTTCCCTACAATTATGCTCAATATGGTTTTGTTCAAGCCACCTGAAGCAATTAATTACTCTTGCAGCTCTTTTTTACATCATAAAAAAGGAAACTTGACCCATTTACTTGACAATTTGATTAAAGATACTGACAAACAAGTGGCTTTCCCTTCATCCCTTGTTAATAAGATTTATTGGCATTATACTTTACCCTATTTTTTATTACTTCTCTTCCCACAAATATTTCCTTTCACTTCAGTAGCCTTCAACAGAATGTTTTTTTGCTTTGTGAAGAGCTTAAAATATCTTTTATGGTGCACATTAAGTGTATTTTGTAAGGTAATGTATGCATAAAAGCAAAGATGTGGATAGAAATACTATTCAGAGGAAGAAAGAGAGAAAAGGAAATGGAAAAGTCTACTACAACACAGCAGTTCTGTCAAAGTTTGGTTAATTCCAAGAAAGGTCACATCATGGACATGTTTTTAAAACCAGCAACTGGTTCAAAATCTAGCAATATATTAAAACAATTAAAGACAATAAAAATGTACCCATTGTCCTTTTTCTCCCTGCAATTTGCTGAAGAACAGTTTCAGCTCCTTGACAGTTATACTGTAGCTAGCCAAAACTCCCAGCATATCAACAAGCAAATCTGTAACAAAAAATCAAGCATGTTAGCATTGTACAACACTATTATACTGAGCACATCTCCTAATCACAGCAGTCACCATCCCACCTACAGGTTCAGACAGCTCAGAATCCCTTAATTGCCAGTAATTTGTTTCAAGTACTGTACAATTACGTGATCACTGGAATGGGAAACATGGGGTGAAAGAAATCACAATTCTTGAGAAGAGATTTACTCATTTCAAAAGCAGAAAAATAAACGTTCCTTGGAAATTACTCAAGAAGAAGTTGGTACTTATTTTATGATACAGTAAACACTGTTTAAATCATTAGCAGCAGTACATTTAAATCCATTCAATCTAATACTCTCTCAGCACAAATGGTATATGCAGCTATCCGAGAAGGTAACAAGTAATAGTTTATTCCAAAAAGAAGAAAGAAAACATAACGTTTCAGCTGTGGAGCCTTCTTCGGGTGTATCAGAGAAGGGGTTCAGTATTCAACAGAACAAGAACGGTCCAGTAAAAGAAAATACAATGTAACCAGGATAACACTAGGAAACTACTTGATATATAAAGTATGTAATTAAACTTAACTAAATATGACAATGACAGTCTTAATTGACAGTCAATTATCAAAGTCAACATTTTATGATGCAATAGTTAATACCTGATTTAAACCACACTCAATATTTTCCTTTGTTTCCTGAACACTACTGCTTCAGAAGACTCTCCTATAAAGGGTCTGTTTTTTTGCTTGTGGGCTGCCATGGACCAATACAGTTCACGATTACTTTCACTTAACACCTGAGGAAAGCACCAGGATCAAGGTTGTATCCATACAACCAGTAAGTTGAAAAACTGAGCATTCGTCGCCATAATTCACAGAGAGGCCTTTATAAGACATACTCTCTACACATCTTTCTTTATGGCTATTTTTTCACATCCTTTTTAAGCTTTACCAAATTCGACTCGAAAAGTGGCTTGAAATACATACAATATTCATTTTGTACTGGCTGAAAGCCCCAAAACCTATTTCTCCTTCAAATTTCTTACATGCTCTTCATGTCTCCATTAAAGAGAGTAATGACAATGATCCAGACCGATTAAGTGGCAACGCAATGCTGTGTGCTGCCATACATGTCATGGAGTGATGATGATTATGGGGAGTAAACATGATCAGAATAGGAAGATGCTAGTTTAACTTCAGACCTGCAATTACACAAGAGACATACCCGCAATCATGCTGTCAGTTTTATCGATCCTCATCAGGACCTGCTCGATGAGCCCCATCTCCGTGCAGGCCTGCAGGTTGCGGATGCTCTTCTTCAGAATGGCGGTGAAAATGCTCCATACTTCAGCCTGGCAGGTTTGATCACACTTATCTAGGAGTTCCACCATGCAAGTGATGCTGTCCACTTCCTGAATGATGAAATTCATTTCCAGATCAAACTGGCCACCTACAAGCTAGGAAAAAACAAGCATGACCAGGTTACCAGAGTATAACTATAATGAAAATAGATAACTTTTTTTAAATACATTGGTAATTATGATGCTAATAAGAGGCAAGATTGCTAGTGCTAAATATGTAAACATGGAGACGGCACCACTAATATGTCATTATCAGGCATGAGTTGTAACAATGAGACCAATTATGAAATACTTCTAAAAGGTGAGAAAAAGTAAACTCAGAAATAAGGCCCTAATCGACAGTATGTTTGTCTGCTGTATTATCCAAATAACTAAAAACAAAAAAGACAAAAAGGATGTGATTGTGTAACAGAAACTTCTTCAAATCAACAATACAATATGTAAATTACGGGCTTGTAATAGCATTACGATAAGAGATAATATTGCAACTGGACATTTGCAACCCTTAAGTAAACCAACTCTTGAAACACGCTCCAACCCCCGCTCTTGCAGGAGTTCAATACGGCTGAGAGCCAACAGAATGGGACAATCTGGACAGCCAGCCTTGGGGTACCTCAGACTGCTGACCTAAATGAGCAATGAGCCCAAAAGGCTTCTTTTTAAAATTAAGTAAAGAACTAATAACAATATTAAGTAGGCCTTACGGGAAATTAAGACTATGCTCTGAATATTATATACTAAAGATATGTTTTCATAAAGAAGATTGCAGATTGGAATGCTTATTTTAAAACCATATTTTAGGTCAGTCTCTTCCACTAATAAGTGGTCAACAAGAATGGATTAAGATGAAAAATGGGAACGTAAAGCAGACGTTTTGTTGTTTGGTGTTTTTAAATATTAGGCTCTCTTTCATTTCTTTGTACATTTGTTCCTGCAGGGAACCCTGGAGTTTTAGTTTTATAATCTTATAATTGAATTGTTAAATGATGTTTTAATTTGAAAATAATGTGAATTTGACATGGCTCTGACATTTTTTTTATCATAATTATCATCAGAAGGTTTGATCTTGTGTAGGTGTGAAATTGAAAGTAACAATCCTGTTAATTCCAGCATTTTACAGCAATAAGAAATTTTAAATCTGAATATGTTTGTAGTGGTCTCCCACTGCTGCAGAAAAATAGTACAATATGATTGAGGTTTACAGCAGGTATATCTCTTTTGCAAACAAACTACAGGTAAAGATCTGTAAACATCTGTAAAAATCAGACTTGTAAAAAAAAAGATTTATAAAATTAGACGGCTACTGCTCTTTGCACCTATTTTGATAAACAGACTATTCTTTATATTTTTATAGGACTCACCCCTTTGTAGAAAATATCCATAAGTACAAAGCTTAGGTTGCTAAAGACAAATCACAATCTAAAAATATTTTCTGTAAGAGGGGTTTATTTTTGAGTAATTGTACTGTCATAAGTATCAAACTTGACTTTAAAAACGCAATGATAAGGAAAAGAACAATGCTGATGGTGAAATTTATTTTGCTAGATGGGCACCAAATTGGCATGTATGAGATGGACAAAAGAAAGATTACCATCATTTGTCATCAGACAGGCTGCAAAAACAATTTGATCACTGGATAGAAACCAAATAAATCCCTAGAAACATGATGGGAAGCTGTCCCATTAAAATGAATGAAGGAGGATTAAAATCAATGTAACCCACAACACAAGCTAAAAAGCGGAGATGAAAGGAAGCGCTGCAGCTACTGTGCCCCGTGTAATACACCATAATGGAATAACGAAACCTGACAAAACCAACAGATCAGCACCGAAATTCTCATTCCTTAACTTTCAGAGCTTTATGTAATCTCAACCACAGACATGTCTGTTTAAGACAAACAATGAGGCCAAAACACAACAAAATAAAATGTGCAAACCCTACAGAAAATGACCCCCCCCCCCCCCCCCCCAACACTTAATAAGGAACCCCCCCCAAACACCTGCTGTGAAAACCAATAAATCACTGGTGCTCAGGAACAGAGCACCTTTTGTGAATTTGCATTTCTGGCCTGCAATAGAAGCCCCGTTCTTTAATGGATGCATGGTGCTGCAAGCTGAGGGGTCTTGTGATTTATGAACGTGACACCTTTTGAGAAGCGCAAATTCTTCACAGTTAGACAAGCCCTAGAAAGTCACTTGAGGGTTAGGCTAATGCTAGAAGCAAGGTCTACGAGCAAGTTCATATTTATTGTGAAGCGAATATTTTCACGGAATTTTAAAATGTTTATTTTCCGGTTAGCAGTTTAATGTATATAGGGAAAACAAGAAATGGTCTGCAGCTCATACCTTTGAAATCCTAAGTCAGGCACTCAAAGCATTAATATATTTTAGAAACGTATATATATTATAAGCTGCCTTACAATACTGGCAATGTCTGTGGTGCTGACAAAATAAAAAATAAAATGTTCTGGCAATCCCACAGTGAAACTCCCACTCCAGTAGAATTTGTAAATTTCAAGTTCAAATCTGGCCAACTGAGTGGAACAGTAACTCCCTCATGGAAGCTTGAATCTGAAAGAATGCAAAAGACTCCTCTTAAGGTAAGGAATTCAGTCGCACACAGTGAGGTCTGGCAATTTAAAGCTTTATGCAGAGAAACCATTTGCATGATTCAAAATAACCCTAAACCTAACATATGACTGAAGAGCATTCCATCAAGATAACACTTGCAATTCCTCAATGTCCACTCAGATAATAATTCCAGTGAGTCGGGGCATGTGGATCCACTTGCATACCATCATGCATACTATAAGCTACAATGCTGATCTAGCAGGTTTTAGTTTTATAATTATACCAATCAGTGTAAAACTTGAATGCATCTACATATGTGGCAACACTTTTGAAACACAGTTTAGAAGCTGCAAATAACGTGTTTTCAATGAATAATAATGATAATTAAGTAAAGTATTTATACTGTATATAAAAACAATAAAACAAAACTTTTACCAATAACTATACAATTAATTAGTAGGAGTCTTTCTTACAAGGGTATTGAATTTCTCGTAAATGTGGTTTTAGGCATTACTATTAAGAGGAAAAATGAATAATAACTATAAATCCAACATGAATAAAGCTTCCATTAAATGTGACTTATAAAAGCAAGTACACAGTAGGCGTACCTGTAGTTCAAAAGCATCTTTGAGAGTTATTGCAAAACAACCTTAAAGACTAGCATTTTTAGTCTGTAAAGGACAGTAGTACACAAAACCTTTAAGTTTCCTGGTAATGTACAAGGCATAACGTAGTGAGTCACACTTTTAAATAGATTCTCACCAACAAGCACTGCAATGGGCTAGATGAGGTTTATGATGGTGCAGTACTGTGAGTTAGATGACATGTTGGAAATGAAACACAACTTGCATTCAAACATGTATTCTATATGACACACTTTTGTTTCCAAAAAGCAGTCAAATGAATTAGATTCTCTCCACAGAGAGAGAACCCTCTAACAAGTTGTCATATTAAGATAACCACAAAATGTTAGTTTGGGGGAAAATCTATTTAATTTAGCACAGTTAATTGTTTTAAGAGTAACTGTCATTTTAGAAGTACTATTTTATATTTTAGAATGGGTATTTGAAAACGCCTATCACTAGTTCTTAACTTTTGGTTGGAAAACAAAATCTACTTCATGTAAACATAACAGCGCATTAAGACAATTTCCAAAGCATTTTGAGGACTCAGAATAACAGAGAAACATCTCATTAAAACATGAACATTTACCTCCAATATGTTGTAATGGCTGTTTAGTGCCTCCATTTTTCTTCCACCTCCTTCAAGGACAACAATGTGAGGAATGTTAAAATACCGAGCAGTGCTCTACAATCAGTCAGGATCCATCATGCTAAGCCATGTGAAAAAAACACTACAATATCTTTCAGATAAATACCGCATATTGTCTCTGAAACTTGCTTTATAACTTCAGTCCAGTCTATGCAACCACCTCCTGCGGTTGAACAAGTCTCAGTGGCCCCTTCAAACTGGATCTTTTGTCTTAGTGGACATTAGATCCCTTACAGGAAGACAATACTGCCTGTTCACCCTTGGAAGCCTATAAATTAGTAACAGGGAGCTTCAGCTGGAACACAAACCAAGTTAGGTTTGTGGTACAGGTATATTGTTTACACAACAGCACAGCAAATGAGGTATGTCTGCACCACCTGTGTTATTCAGAAACATGAGCATTTTTTTCTTCTATAAGAAATACAGAAAAACTAGATCATCCCTAATGCATGATCGCATCCAGCTTGAAATCAGCCAGCCAGGGTATTTGAGAAAACAGATGTCCTCCAAGTCAGCGAGGTGAGACAGTACTTCACAGTTTGGAGTAAATTATCAGGATTTTACAGAGGGAAAGGATACTAAGTAACAGAAAGACGTGACCTCACATGGTACAGTATAAATCACTCTGTAATATACGGCTTGTCTTTTTTATAGTTTTACCCCCCAGAGCTTCTGTAAATTGTCATTCATGTTTAGGATCAAGCTATTTCCTCTGCCATGTTTTTTTCCACTTGTTTTTTTCAAACAACAAACATTTACAAAAATAGTGTTTCCATTTATTCTAATCTGGCTGTTTTTCAGGCTGCTTAGAAGTACCAGGGTCAGGTACAATCACTTTAATGTTAAAAATCACATAATACACTGTAATTAAAGGTAGTGTATTGGGACTATTTCTGCAGCTTGTCTGTGTAGTTGTACCCATAGCATGCATCAGGGCTACGGGTACTGGCAGGGCTAGTTTGACCATGGCCAAACAAGAGGTCATTTATAATTGTTTGTTGATATAGAAAATGCTCATATATGCCAGCATATAACAGTGCCAAGTAAACAAAGCCGATCACTTATTAGACATCAGTATATGAATTCAAAGAAACTAGATTAAAGTTTTAAAAGTTTATTGTAATTTACTTTCAAAAGATCTTTTTTTTTTCCTTTGGATGTTAAACTGAGGTCTATTTGGTCATTGAAGATCCCCATGCCAGTATTCATTAGAGGAGGGATGTTAACTGGAATCCAGGCCAAATTCCACTTTTA